GGTTCCCCCCCCCTTCCCCCCCCCCCCCTATTTATCCTTCCTCAACCACATTTTGACCGGCCACAACTCCTCGCCTCCACTCCCGTCCTCACAGTCGTACTTACTGGTACCCGTCAACATCTAAGCCATTTCCATTTTACGTTGCAGTAATCCGTTGGACTATTTACACGCTTACTCTCACGCACGACAGGCACTGCAAACCAAACCACATAGAGACAAAGAGAGCCGAACACTTGAGACAATGGCACCACCATCGCCCTCGTACACCGAGGTCATTCACTCCGCCACATATGCGGGAATCGATCCAACTCAGCCCAGCCTCTCCACTGCGGGCAAGGTTGTCTTGATCACTGGCGCATCTGGCGGCATCGGCCGTGCCACAGCCTCATCCTTTGCTGCATCTGGTCCCGGAGCCCTCATCCTTCTCGGTCGACGCGCCGACGCCCTGGCGGAAACCGCCACCATTGTACGTGCCAGCCACGCAGATGTGACAATCCAAACTCACGAGGCTGAGCTATGTGATGCTTCGGGCGTCCGCAATGCTATGAACAAGGTGGCTGCCGAGTTTGGTGGTATCGACATCCTCGTCCACTGTGCCGGCGTGCTGGCCCCCGTTGTTCCGCTTCTGGAAGCCGATCCGGTTACTTTTCTGGACGGTTACAAGACTGCTGTTGTCGGTTCGCTGGTGACGGCACAGGCTGTCGTCCTGGCAAACAAGACAGTAAGCCCCGAGGAGGACAAACCAGTCACCTTGATCAATCTGACGACGGCGGGCATCATATTCCCCCCGTTCGCCGGCATGGGCGCCTATGTGAGCAGTAAGATGGCCGCCGTGAAGATCTTACAGTCCTTTGCCGTTGAGAACCCGCAAGTGCGTCTTCACAATGTGCATCCCGGATTCCTCCAAACGGCTATGTCTGCTAAGCTGTCGGAGTCGATCAAATTGCCATTTGCCTTTGATGATAGTGAGTATAAACTGACCTTGTCATTCCTGGCTAATCCCTGTTTATATTCAAGTAACTAACTATCATTCTTTCGCAGTCTCTCTTCCCGCTGATTTCCTTGTCTGGATTGTCTCCCCCGAAGCAGAATTTCTTAAAAACAAGATCGTCTTCGCTTCTTGGGACGTCGATGAGCTCAAGGCTCGCAAGAAGGAGATCGTTGGTGAGCCGCCGGGAACTGGTGAGCTCTGGCTCGGCTACCAAGGATTTCCACGATTCATGGGTGGCCAACCTTTGCCAGGGACCCAGTAGGCGAGCGGTCCCCTGCATGAGAAGTCGCCATCCTAGGCCGAAGGAACCTGTACACACGTAAGTTGACCAAATTAAACATTAGCCATTTACACAGAGAGATTCTGGAATTATGTTACTCAGCTAAAGATATCACAACAATATAACTTGAAGTTTTCGACTTCTCCAAAATCGATGTATACTGTGAAAAACGGCTGGTTATCAATTAGGTTGTGCTGGTTGAAATATAAAACTGTATTCTATCGCATTTACTATGTGTTTGTTTTGCCCATGTCGGCTCGCATGTGAAATACTAGGTAGTGGAGTCTGCAAGATCATGACTTGATGACTAACGCGGTATGTTTGTCAGGCGATTCTTGCTGCGAAATTGAAGTTATTCTAACGGAGATCCCTTTATATAGTGGGCTCGGTATCGATGGCCTATGCTGGCTGGCTAGGTGGGTGGCCACGCGGGTGTCGGCCATGCCGTCGAGTTGGGCACTGGGCTGGAAGGAAGGCGAAGGTGCGGAGCGGTCATGGGTTAGATTGAATTATTTTCAAAGTTGTTGCCTAAATATGCGGGCGAAGTCAACCGAGTTTGTTTACTGTGTAGGTGGGTGGGGCTTTACTAAAAAAGAATAATGCATCGCGAGAGTCCTTCTCTGATAGATGCGGAGTCGTAGGGCAATGCCAACTTCCAATTGCGAGGCTGAGGTGCACCAACTACGCAATCGCCAGACTAGATTCGAGGATGACCCTCCGCCTGACTCAATACCGCGGGCCGTTTTGGAGTATTTTTGGAAAAGCGCAAGGATCAGTCTGGCTCGCCTATTAGGAGTTTCCTAATTCGCTCAGCATGTGTCAAGACCCCTGCTGATTCCATTAGGAACAGTCGGATCTAGCCAAGTGCATACATATGTATGTTGTCGTGGGTTAACTGGCCTGGCCCTCGTGGTCCCCGCATACTGACCCAGAAACGTTGAGATTATAGCGCCCGTTGGACACAACTGCAGCAACGTGCACGAGAAGGGTTAGGTTTGGAAGGCTGCCCCAGATTCTGAATAGTCTGATGATGAAGGACTTGAAGTTAACATGGTATCAAATATAAGTAGAGAGGGAGGATCTGTCAGACATGCTGGATTGTGATCGGTGACAGACGGGAGGTATCAGGCCATCGATCTAGTAAAATATCAACCAGAGTTCAGGCTCTCTAGAGTGGAGGTCATCGCTTTTTGTCCTTGTTTTAACTAGACCAGGGATATAACCGGAATATTCCGTCTTTTAGCGTTTCTCGGCGTCCTTGGCTGAGAAGCTTAGCACATTCTCGATATTTCGATAGTCCTTCTCGCTTGTGCAACATATTTAAATTTTGTGACGTGTTCGCACACTTGTTTTGTAGACCGACGCAGCCTAGATCCTTTATGCGTCGTTGGAGAACCTTGCTCTTCCGATGTGCCCTTACATATACAGAGCGGGTCTAGCTAGTTTTACTTTGATTACGCCCGGGTTGGCTCGAGGGAAGCCTGCGGCGCCCCGGGCCCGGCATGACTTTGTAGTAGTCGGCGCACCTTAGTTTCTTGTCATCCGCGACTGCCCGCAGTTATTGATCCTATTGTAAACCCCGTTTCCGGCTTCGGTTAGTATCGCGACATGCATCAAAGGGCCATCCCGGAACTTCTACCATACCTTCTAATTTTAATGAATCTATGAGGGGGGTGTGGGGTTATCTGGGAGCCTGTACCCATTCCTGCAGGTGAGGGGCTGTCTCACACTCAGCCCTATCCCCGATCCACCACCGTGTGCCTACCTTCTCCCCGCTTATGGCTATATTCCCTCGCAGATGATAATGGCTCATATCATGTGCTTCAAAGCCGAAGTTCCGGTTCCTTACCTTGTTTGGCGTCGCGATGAGGGGAACGCTAGCTCCATTATGCGAAGAGTTGGAGAAACCGCCACCTGATTATGTCGAAGCAATGATGCAATACGAAAGCCTGTTATTTATCATGTTCAACCTTTGTTTAGCAATCCCAAGCTTTGCATAGACATATAAAAGGCGTCTGGTACGTGATAGTAAAACGTTCTTCCATTCTACTCCAACCTACCTTCTTCTCAGTTCCCCCCAGAAACATTTCCAGGGCATCAATATGAAGCTTCAACTCATAGTTACTCTACTTCCTATCGTGCTACCCTTGGCACATGGGGCCCCTGCTCGCAGGGATACCCCCAACCCCGGTCTTCGAGGGAACGGCTCGCTACTTGGATATTCTCCAGACAACGAGGTTGGCGGCGACTCGCGACCCGACATCAAGTATACTCTTGTTCCCGGGCAGAAGGAAAATCCCGACACCGGGTCATACCTCGATTTCGAGAAAGCCGACAATCCCCAGCCGATCCGTGGTCCGACGGGTTCTGATGATCCTGGTCCGAGTATGAGCGCCTTCAATCCTATGTGCATTTCAATACATGCTGACCGCACTGAAATTATTGCAGGAAACTATTACTATGACAGAATTAATAGTGATAAACTTGCACCTCCCGGGACTGACCATGGGGAGACAATTAATGCGCAGTGGCCGATGGGCAAGTCTACTCGTTTCCGTGGACAGATATGCAATGTGCTTACTATATGCTAGGATTGAGTCACAACAGGTAACCATTCCTTCCCGAACAAGGGCATTCCAGGTACTCATGCTTCTTTCTTTTAAAAAAGACTTGGCTTAGATGGAGCTGGTTGGGCTCGCCAAGAGAACACCAACGTGATGCCGGATGCGACGCTCATGGCCGGTGTTGATATGCGCCTGGCGCCTGCCGGCTACCGCGAACTTCACTGGCATGTGGCTAGCGAATGGTCCTTGGTCCTGAATGGATCGTGTCGAATCCAGGTACTTGATGATCTTGATCCGACGAAATAAGTACTGACCGACCCCCAAGGCTGTCAACGAGAACGGGGAGACATTTATCGACGACGTTACCGCTGGCGATGTGTGGTTTTTCCCACCGTGAGTATTTTGATATGCATAGGTATTGGTTTATGCTGATGATTGGACTGTTAGTGGCGTTCCGCATTCTATTCAAGCCCTCGACGATGGAGTCGAATTCCTTCTAGTATTTGACGATGGAGACTTTAGCGAGGATAATACATTCCTGGCAACAGAGGTCTTTCTCCACACCCCAGTAAGAAAAGCAAATCTCGCATTGAGAATGGAATCCAATTTCTAACCCGCCACACAGAGAGAGGTCCTCTCAAAAAACTTCGGTGTTGATGTATCAGCCTTTGACAAGATCCCCGACGACGAATTATACATTTTCAAGGGTACTCCTGCCCCAGAGGACATCGAAAAACAGAATGTGACAACAGCTGCCGGCCTCATACCTCGCGCTAAGAGTTATTCATATCATTTCTCAGAACAGCCGGCCCACGAAGTCGCCGGGGGCTCGGTCAAGATTGTCGACCCGCTGACTTTCCCCATCGCTAGCAACTTCTCCGCCGCTGTCGTTACCGTTCATCCAGGCGGTATGCGCGAAATCCACTGGCATCCAACTAGTGACGAATGGACTTTCTTCATTTCAGGTGAGGGCCGAGCGACACTTTTCACTGCCCCGAATGCTGCAACTACATTTGATTATCGCGGCGGTGATGTTGGTTACTTCCCAAAGTCTAATAGCCATTATATCGAGAATACTGGTGATGAAGCCTTGGTCTTCGTGGAGGTGCTCCAGGCGCCTGAGTTTACAGGTACTTCTTCTTCCTCGCCTAATGGTTTGTGTTTCACGTGCTGACGGTAGTAGATATGGCTCTCGGTCAATGGATCGCGTCCACGCCGAAACAAATCGTTTCGGATACACTCAACCTCAGTGACGACATGCTTAACAACCTCAAGACTGAGAAGCAATATGTTGTCGCTGGTTCCAGCGATTAGACCGCCTCACAAGCACCATCTCCATGTTCATAATATGCAGGTCTTGAAGATGTTAGTAATTTTTAACAAAGTTCTACTAGAAATGCACCACAGCAGGTCATCAGTTCTCCCGAGTACTGCCCCCGGATAAAGATCTCATTGCCCTCTTTTGTCTCGGCATACTTTGCCCTTCGCGTTTCAGGAAGAGGCATTGTGCAATCTGGAGGACCGTACGTACCTACTGCAAGTGGGGTCTGTTGGGAGACGTAGACGGGCGTCCCTGAAATCCTCTCCAGAGCCTCGAAGTGGCACTGGACGATCATTGGTCATTGGAAAAAATACCCGATTTGCTGACAGCCTTCAAGCATAGGACAGCTATCTAGGTAATACTCAGCCTCCGTCGGTGGAATCAAGTGTCGTAGCCTGATTTTATTCTCCGATGTCACGTAACAATTAGCAACCTCCCAGTAGGTCGACAAGACCCGGGGAAGCTCAGCTGCGTAACCAAAATGAACACTCGAGGGCATCTACCTCGGGTTAGTGCGTATGCTCCACATGTTAGTGCCCCAACTACGCCACAGGCCGTGAACCGACGACTTTAGATTTGGGCTCGGTTATATTCTTATAGTTAATGCAAGAAATTCAGCTTATTTAAACTGACTATTGCCCGCAAGCGAGGAGCCTTCTCTAGAATAACCAAATATAGTAACTGAGGGAATACTATGATAGGCGTAGTACCGGTGGACTATACAAAGCTTCTCAATTGTCCGCATGTATCTCGAAAGTCACCATTGTTACAAGTATTCTCAGCCAGTATACAGTCTCCAGTCTTCCTATAGCTCATTTCATATCCTAGCTTTCTCCTTTCCAGTTCTGAGGACATGGTGAGTCCGTATCGATACAGTTGAGCGGTGAGGTATTTAAAACCGCCTAGCTTCGCGCAAATTCCGCGGTGACCGACCATTATCTGATAACCTGTGTCAATGCTTGTGTTGATTGGAATTGTGGTGATGCAGAGGAAGCGCAGGGTGGCAAACAATTCTGCTCTAGAGACGCTTCGAGACCCATCAGAAACGACGTCAACCGCCAACAACAATGAGAACTTTCCAACTAACACTTTGCTTCGCTCGCAACTGCACTTCCCAGACTGACAGGAGCTTTGTCTCCAATCAAATACCGGTCGCTAGGACAGACTCCGGGCCGGTAGACGACTCGGTCCTGGGTGGGATTGACCAGTTCTGGTGCCAAACCAACCCTGATTTCTCCTTCCCTTTGTACCATCCATCGCCTGTCCAGCCACGCTTTCCAGGAGCGAACTTCGCCATAAGCAAGTCCTCCGGTCGTGCTTCACACAAGGGACCATTCCACTGCGCCATAGGCGATCATTCGAGGTCGCCCCCTCGGTCTTAGCATAGTTATGGCCTGCCAGTATATCGCGGAACATCCGATTCCGATATTCGCTCGGTCGGTCGGGTCCCTAGCTACCGCGACCACGCAAAGCCGATACGGTGTTCGAACTTATCACATCGGCCTGAAGTGACAAGGGATGGATTAGCACGCTTCACATCGCTGCTCAGAAAGGCAACCAGCGTATTGCCTGTGTTGGTCTGCTCCGTGGTAACATAGAATCAAAGGCAATGGTAGGACACGCTTCATACACAAGATCATTGAGAATCGCAACTCTACAGTCCGCTTGCTACTCTCAAACGATGCTCAAATCGGCGTGCATGAATGCAATGGTCGATCTGCACAGAACTGCGCTGACTTGTATCAGCGACTCGAGATACTCCAGCAATTGCTCGAACATCGGGCTGAGTACAAACGCAGTTGGATCTTGATATGTACGACAATACTGACTGGACGCCATTGCATACGTCCGTAGATGGAGGTTTCGAGGCTGGAGTGCTGATGCTCCTCCAGGAGGGCGCGGACATCAACGCCAAGGCACACAAATGTCCGCATACAGGCAAGATCATGCCGCTGACGGATCGACAGCGATAAGGCCATGGTCACCCTAGAGTCAGCACTGAGTGCTGGAGCCTGAGTAACACATGATGGCCTGAGGTATCCGCAACTCAAATAGCTCCAGAGAGCCTGACCACATCGATTGCACTGATTTACCAGTAGCTACCAAGTCTCCTCGTTGCCATCAAACATGAACAGCTTTTCACTCTGAGTTTGCAGCGTAGACGAATCAACCTTGGGGAACTTGCCAGCGGGTAAGCGCTCTGGCCAAATTGCCCTCATGGTATGAACTCCTCCTCTATGATCTTCGAGGCTGAATGAATTATCGAAGGGTCACTCAGGTGAGCGCGCGCCAACTTGAGTTGTACGGCCAGGTTCATCCAGTCTCGAAGTCCCTAGGAATCCTGCCATGGCTGTCGCGCGACATCCGGAATTTGTAAACGTGGTGTCGAAGTGTGTTGTGGGTTTGAACGGAGCGCCAAAGGAAGGGACATTCACAAAACCCGCACTATATGGCGGCTGGGTCGACGAGGCAAACGTGGTAGTCGCGGGCGCAGAACCCTGAATGTATGTCAATCCAGGGATTGAAGGTCGAGCAGCAGGTTGTTGACTCAAAGGTCGCTGGCCCTGAATGTATGTCAGGCCAGGGATCCCGGGTCTACCGGGAAGGCTTTCAACCACGAATCTTCAACGGAGATTGCCTTGGTCAACAGGTGCCGAACACCGTTCGTGAGAGCGTACGCAGCGTTTTGCACGGGCATGAAGTTCCCCTGAATGGTTAGTATACATGTTTCGAACTGCCTTAGCCGTCTTATCTGTTCTCATCCGGTCGGTGCAGGTCGATGGGTGTATAGCAATCAGTAGTCCCATGTTATGGCGAACCCTATCTAGAGACATGCTTTGCCGACTGTTGGACGGTAGTCGGTTGTCCAGGCAAAAAGCGAATAATCGATGAAGGTTATGAGTAGAGGAATGGTTTGTAGTATGGGACTGTGTAGTATATGTTAAATGGCTTCCGGGGGCGCTCGTCGTCGTGAGATTTGTTGGGGAGTAGGCGGGTGTTGTCTGAAATTTTGAATATTTAGGGAGATATATGGGAGAATGCCAATAGACTAAGAGGGAAGGAAAGAGAAGGGGACGAGCTGGAGGCCCAAGTTAAGAAACGACCTCGGGGGGCGGAGCGACGATCAGCAAGCAACGGGCCATTTTCACTACACAATTTTCGGGCAACGGGGTCGGATTCTCCACAACACGTGGACTTGTTATCAGTCCATCACATCTTCATATGATCTTGTGCTAAATGGGAAAATTCGCGCGCCTTAAGCCTCTCCTATCCACACAATTCCTGAATTCAATCCAAGGGAAGGTTGGGGGCGGTGAAGCTCTGCGTGGAGAAATTTTCTCCAAACTTCACGAGAACTCCATGTTGATTTACCTACGGGTATATTAATACGCCATGGACAGACACGATGGGAAGTAGCATGCTAAAGTACAAGTGGACCGCATTGTTGAGCACTGCTTCTTGCTTTTTACTGCATATAATCGTCAAACTTCAATCCCGTTACCATTTTGTGCCAATATCACTAAAGGCGACCAGTTATAGATAACCCCCGTGTTCTGTAAAGACAATTGATAGAGAGCCACTTCTTGTTCAGTAATTGAAAGCAGCGTATTCTGTGGGAGTAACCTCTTAATGCCTTGAAGGATTTCACGGAGAGCCACCAAATAAGTGTTCGTGCAGAGTTGCACTAGCTCAGGCTTAAAGTGATCGTTTTTTACTTCGAGAATATTGAAGTTCTCTTGTCGCAAGCGGTTTGGCAGGTCTGACACCCAGCTGTGGCACCAAATATATTTTAGTAATTCTGACTTCATCGCTGTCCTATTGGACCAACGTACCTGTAGTCAAGACCGACCCTTTTGAATATCTCGTTCATGTTCCGCTCAAACTCCTGCGCCCCTGCACCTTTGATACGCTGATGTACCAAATCAGCATCTTCCCATTGTATGTACCCTCCAGGCTCTAAAAGTCCAACTGTTAGCCTCTATGATACCTTGAATTGGTCGGCGAGACCAGGCCATACTCAAGAGGTGCTTGACGTGGCGAGCCAACGACGATGTATCGCTTTCCCGAAGATTGCTCGCCCACATCCGCAGATGCACCACATCATATTGACCACAAAGAGGTAAAGGCAGATCAGCCAAAGAGTCCAGAAGTCCCAGTGTAACATTTTGGGGCCATAGATCCTTTGCCGGAAATTGATCGTCGGATATGTCAAAACCATCCAGCTGAACTGTCGGTGGAAGCTGTCTTGCGAGGTCAAATATCCAGACGCTATTGAATAAGCGAAGTCATTACAGGGCCAGAGACTATTAAAAAAGGAAGTTTAAAGTCTTACGCCGTCCCTGTCCCAAGCTCAGCGACCTTCATATTCTCAGTTACGGGAGTATCAGGATGCAGCTCGTAGCCTCTGTGAAGTTTCCAAAGCAGGTGCTGCGCATCCAACCTGCTATTCATTAGCGCTCTGGCACACTGTAATCCCCGGACACAAATCAAGCCAAGGAAGAACACGGGTCGAAGCTAACCTAACCGAGTCCCCAATACCTCGACCTAAAACGTATTCATCTTTCTGGGTCATGGTTCTATCTCTTGGTGGAAAGAGAAGTGATCTATAGAGGCTTGAGTCGGGTTCTTAACAGAATGTAAAATCCAATGGGAGTTTGGCTCAACGCTGTTGAATTATAGACCCTGAGGACTATAGAGCATGTATGGGAATTCTAATCTTGCAAAGTAAGTACTATGGAAAGCACTTATGATTTCATGTACTGTAGAAAGTAAATTGAATTGTCTGTCTGATCTCTTCGTACATGGAAAGAAGCCCATATTTAGGTGCTTCTTCTTCGTATTCCCTCCAATATAACAAATCAGAAATGAATCAGCAAGAAACAGCGGTGTGCAAAATTAAGAAGCAAAAGCAGAGGAATCACATTGTCGAGACACCAATGCAGTGTGATATTGACTCGTATTCTGAGTGGTTTGGTATAATGAAGCTTTTTACACTATACACATTCACCACGTTTTTAGGTGGTTTAAACAAGGCTTTTGATCCTATACGAATCTACGCATTATAACTCTCTCTAGCCCATATGAAAATGAAGCTTTTGATCCCACACAAATTCACACATCACCACTCTCTTAGGTGCTTCAACGTAATATGAAGCTTGTTATCCAATACAAATTCATATATCACTCCTTTTTCAGGTGGTTCAACATAAAGCTTTTTATCCTATGAAAAGTCGGTGATGCATGAATCTGTACTCTGTATAAGGCTCTGGAAAACCTTAACATGTTGGGATGAACTTTTACATCACATCGTATAGAGGGGTGTACCAAGCGGTCAAGAACCAGGCCAAAGTCATGCATTCAGGCATTAATATTTACCCCCCTGGCGTCTACACAGCTGCGTAGGTTATGGTTACACAATCCCGAAAGAAGAGAGATTAAATGGTCGGCCTGCGGGCGTCCACAATTGGAAGTATCGAGACTGCACTGTCGCATCACAACCTTTTTTAGGGGTGTACCCATTTATTTTAAAGTTGGTTCAATAATGAATTGATCGACAATATACAGGTTGCTCGCTTTTCTGTGGAGATACACGTCCGCTTAGAGTGTAGCTTTGTTAGGGGGAGAAAGGTATAAGTAAGTATATTGTCATACCGTCTGTTGAAGGTTCAAGGACTCACACATCCTTATTTTTCACAAAAACAACAAATGACTTCCATTAAGCTGACAACTGTATACAATGTCTTCTCATAAAATGTCTATTGCCTTCACCAGCCAAGCCCATGCTCTGGAGACCGTCGTTTCGGTGCTAGCGAGGCACAAAACCGATGATTACTACGCATATGAACGGGGGGAAAATTGGTACATAGGCATTGGAAGTCAAGCATCGTTAGTGTTAGACTCCAAAGGAGAGACTGTGACCGTCAATACAGAATCCAGTCAAACATCACGCCCAATGGATGGATCCTCGGTTACTGATATTGCGAGAGAATTCGTCTCCCATAACATGAAACGTGGTTGCAGGATATTCGGCCAAGCTGGGTTCAACTATGCTGCACATATTCGTGGACAAGCATTTACATGTGGCAACTGGCCTCTTCTAGCCCTGCTAGTACCTCGCATCGAAATTCTTCTTCATCAACATACTGTTACTCTGAAGGGAATTCGCGACGGAGAAGTGAAGGGCTTATATGAGTCGATCCAGCATGACACTGGCGGCCTTGGTCTAATCCGCCCTCAGAATATCCAGCCCATCGACACGCAAGACATCAAAGGCGATTACACTGATAGGGTTGAAAGGGCTCTCTCGGATATAGCCCGAGGCCAGTACACGAAAGTCATTCCATCACGCGCTGTAGAAATCAAGTACAAGATCGACATGCCAGCTACTCTGCTGGCTGGAACGCGATCAGCCTTAGGAACAAATGAAGAAGTCGAGAATCTGCGACATGAGTTGCTAAACGACCCGAAGGAAATTGTGGAACATGTCGTATCGGTGAGAGAGGCGATTACAGAGCTTCGACAGCTGTGTCAGCCAGATACTATCAAGGTCGAAGATCTGATGTCAATCAGAACGCGTGGCTCTGTTCAGCATCTAGGGTCTCGTGTTGCTGGGACACTATCACCCGAAAAGGATGTGTGGGATGCTTTTAATGTCCTGTTCCCGTCAATTACAGCATCTGGAATTCCGAAGCATGCAGCTATCGAAGCCATCAAATACCTGGAGGATGAGCCGCGAGAACTCTACTCTGGCGCCGTCTTCATGATTGAAGATTTACAATCTTTTGAAGCAGCACTGGTCTTGCGCACTGTTTTCCAGGATCAGACTCGTGGTTGGATCCAAGCCGGAGCTGGCGTCATCTCTCAATCCAACCCGCAGCGAGAGCTGATGGAAACTCGCGAGAAGTTGGCAAGCATTGCACCGTTCGTGATTCCGGATATTTCAACTTGAAAGGCACATGGGTTGAGAAGTTAGCCCCGTCGTTCGAAACTGTCACGAGGGAATATCTAGGATTTGATTAGGGACGGATCATTGACATTTTGCACACCATCGGTGGCCTTTGATAGGCCTCGCTAGTTCATTTTGGTCATACTATTTCAATTAGCTGCTTCAAATTATCTTAGCGTTTAACCAAGCTCATTTTTGTAAGCAGTGATCTAGGCCGTGCCTAGACATGTCTAGTTGAGGCCGCCAGAGAGCTGTGATTCTTTGTAGTACGATTGGACCCTTCCAAGAACTAGATCAGCTTTTGAACATCGCAACCCCCGGATTTTCACTCCTTCTGAAACCGGGTATCAAATCAGGGCAACAAATCATCCACGCATGTTACAGGCAGCTTCAGAGGCCCAGGCAAGTGGGATCACTCTCCACCTACAATACATGTCCAGATATTGCAATCACCCCGGAAACGACGCAGCGGACCGACTGGCGAAGGACGCAGCCGGTCCAGGCAAGACGCACCCATTCTGACTCTACTATCAAGGGAGAAGGTCTATATTCGGCAGCATTGGCAGTCATACGAAGATAATCTGGGTCAAGGATTCCACATTGGCTCCAGGGACTTACAAGCCAGTCCTGGGAGCTTGGTTGCTCCTAGAATCTCAAGTACATCTCCGGGGACTGGAAAGTTGGCGCTGCGTATAGGAAAGTGAGACGCGGTTCACCTGAGTTTGGAAATGAAGAAAATACCGATTCCGGGGATGGCATGTGGTTGCCTCTGGGGACTTTACTCAGGGTACCAGGATCTTGGCTGCTTGTACTGCTATTGACGGGCTGCCGAATCTCCTGCAGCCCAGTGCAGTAGTTGGATGTCTGGAATGCGCTGCATTGAGTGCTGATGTGACCATAATCGTGGCAGCGGAAGTGTCTGTGGCTTGCTCTGTGATGTGTCATATTAAGGATCTAATTACTGCTATACGGCTCTCTGATATAGCTTTATTAGATAAAGGAATAATTGCCTGAAAGGGGTAAAGAGAGGGCTGACAACCCACATGTAAGTAAGGAAAGCCTTAGTGTAAGATAAGTCAAAAGATATCAGAAAGGACCTGTGAAAAATGTCCCTGGTACGCTTCGTAGGAATACATACATAAATGTATGTATTTCTGATATATGTGATAATCGGTAATGTAGTGGGCTTATCTATTGGTTCAGGAGTTTTCCAAGGTTGGTCTCGTCCTCGGATAAGGAAGCCCGAGGATTCCGCCTGGCGACGGAGAACGGAAAATTCCCCGCTTCATTTCTCAATTGACTCTCTTTCTCCGCCGTTATCGTCTCACTTTGGGTAACTAGAAAGTCAAAGCGCCTGCACACGGCCTTAAACGCTTTTCGAAATGCCAGTAGAAGCTCTCACTTTAAATGGTCGGGCTCACCGTGCCCGCCGCGCCTGCCAATTTTGCCAGAGGCGCAAACTAAAATGCACGAAAGATTCACCAGAGTGCTCGGCTTGCAAGCAGTCAGTCACGCGTCATTATTAAGAAATGAAATGAGCCCTGGAGAGCTTCTAACTTGAATGAGAAATAAGTTATCGACAGCTTTGTATTTACAACAACAACGCGCAAAACGCCGTTAAGCAACATGAAACTCCCGATTCCTCTCAAACACACAGCAGGACTCTTCCACAACAATATCCCAACGACAGGCGTGCCATCGCAAACCGATTTTTGGATCAAGACCTGTACAGACTGACCCGATCAGGATTGCCGCCAAGTTCGGGTTCCTCTGTAAACCTGGTCTGTCAAGCGCCTGTTGAAGGCGGTCGAACGGCATTGCAGGAAACAGCCACCCGGTATTTCCAGATTGTACATCCATGGTTACCAATCATATCAAAGCAAAGGGTTTTCTATCAACTACTGAATCCTTTAGTGTCTCTTCGAGCAGATGTGGGATTCTTGTGTCTTTGTATGAAGCTATGTGCGCGGGCCCCAGAAGGTGAAAACCCGTGGACCTCGGATTACTATGCAGCTCGGCAGAGCTTTGCAGACCTCCACGCGGCTGGGGTGCTGTCCTTCGAGACTCTACAAGGGTCTATTCTACTGGCTGTTTATGAGCTAGGGCATGCCATGTATCCTGCGGCGCATATCTCAATTGGCGCATGTCTGAGCTATGCTCTTGCGCTTGATATTGACCGGCCGGACTTGAACAATTCAAATTCCGGCTCGCAGACGTGGGCTGAATCTGAAGAGCAGAGGAGGACATGGTGGGCTATATTTGTCCTTGAGCGGTTCGTCTGATGCTTATTCCTTCGCCGGAAGATCTAGGTGTGTGCCTTCACGACGGCCGCTAATCATCTCTTGAATCAATAGAGTCGCCGCTATTGGAAACCCAACTCGAACAATGTTGGTTCCTGAACCTGAAATATTCGCGCGAATCCCTTGTCTGGAGTCTGAATGGGAACAAAAAGAGTGCAAAAGCGCCTCAGCAACTCTCGCATCTCCCCCAGAGTCACATGGACGCTACGCAAGCGTTGTGCAAGCTTCTTATCTCCTCAACCGTGTTTTCCAGCATGTATCAGACAAATCTGCACCTTTTGATATTCAGCAAGAGGGACTAACTCAGCTGGATCGAACTCTTCATGCCCTCATTACCTACTCGGAGTCGAACACGGGGACCACATATTCCATAATATGTTACCAAAACGCCATATCATTCTGGTAATTGAAAGGAAAAAAAATCATCTTCTACCCCTCTACTAACGTCTTAATAGTGGTTTGATGATTTTGTATTCGCCCTATCTTTCAAGCGAAGATGCTACAGTACGCCAAAATGCGTGGGCTTCATCTGACAATGCTGCGCAAGTTGCACTGAAAGTAGCACATCAGTATAATGAAGGCACCATTACTGATTTCACTTATGGTGGCATTCCCCCGTTTATGCTACCATGGATGTACTTGGCAGGGGCTCATTTTATTAGACGGGGGGATTTCACAAGCTTAAGCATAATAGAAGCTGCACTGCGAAGCCTCAGTGACGATTGGAAGTCCGCCGGTATGTTTGAATCTAGTTGCTATGTCAAGATACTGGATGGTGTTTAAGCTAAAATTTCTTGAAGGGTTCTATCTAGATCATCTTGCCGCACGCCGTCTCATGGATTCAGGGCTGAGGTGATTTACGGCCAGCTCCCTAGAAGCCGTCAATGGATGATTTCAAGCTCTCTTCAAGAGTAGTCCAATCCGCCTGCCCAAAAAATCTTTCCAGGAGCTGCATAGCCTTCTCGCGCGGTCTAATGCTGGACAGATCCCGACCTTCGTTTTCGGGGGCATCGGGGATTTGGTCATTGTTCGGCCGCAATCTGCGCAGAATTGGAATGATGTCATTCCAATTAGCAGCATGCGCGAACGCAAAGATTCGTTGAGAGGTCACATTCCGGTCAAGCAAAGCGGCGACATGCAAGCGGGCGGTGTCTCGAACGTCGATAAAGTACTCTACATTCCAAGACAGTGCCGAGTCAGCTCACTCGTATTATTAAATCTGCGCAGTTAAAAGACCTGAATTTACTCACGGGGCTTCACAAGATTTATAGGCATTGTGTTCCCAACAAGGACACTGCGGATCAAAGCAGTCGTTGAGCCGGGAATTTCCGGTGCGATTGTAGGCCCAATCTATAGTGAACGAAGTGAGCCTCCACCTTAGCGAGTATTGTCAAAAAGGGAATACATACGTTAACATTGGGTAGGACTGCATTGAGCACGAATCCACGCTTTGAATCCTTGTACCATTCCCAGGCCGTAGATTCCTGCTTTGTTTTCGAAGCACAGTACACAATCCCGGGTTTTTCCGTCTCAGGGGTATCGGGGCTCCAGGCAGCTTCAATGCTGGCGTGGTTCCAGCTGTCTGCATAACCGGATATATCAATTACTCATAACACAGAATGGTCATCTCGCCAGGAAACTTACTCTCATCAACGACAACACCAGCGTCATCCTGGACTGCACGCAAAGCAGCGGTCGATGAAGAAGTCAAGACGACTCGTTCGACAGTGCCTTCTTGTTCAGCTGATTCAAGCACATTCATTGTCCCGGCAACGGCACGAGGAATAGCGATATCTGGTCTTGGGTCATAGGACATGTCCGATGCCTATCATACGTGAATCAGCGGGTATTAGAAACAACAAAAGACATAAATCATGGATGTTCAGTTGAATAGACCAATAGCCAGACTTACCACATGAACGACCCCCGAAATGTCCTTCATGGCCTCTTGAAAAGCACCCGGTTCCTCCATAGCGGTTACAATGACATTGTGGTACCGCTCAGGACCATACACCTGACGAAAGTGTTCCTCCAACCACGGCTTTTCAGACCGTACTGTACCACGTACCCGGTATCCCATTTGCAAAAGTTGATCGCTCACATGGGAAGCAATAAAGCCGTTGGCACCGGTGACAAGGACCAAGGCACCTTTAGGAAGAGCGAGGTCAGTTGCAGAGACCATTTTTTAGCACAGAACAATTATGAAGTTCGAAAAAGGACTATAGGAAGGTTAGGTAGAACTGTATGCTGGGGGATACTGGGAATTTTCTTATAATTTATACGTAACTGAACATTGAAATATTCAAATATAGAACAACAAAGTGTCCATATTGATTAGAAATACTGCGCGGATTGTACTTCCTCGTGGACGGACCGTGACGGCAAAACGGAACTCAACGGAAATTAGCGGGAAAAACGGAGAGAACGGAGAAAAGCGGGGAATGCGCGGGTACGGACTAAAACCTAATCATCGAGCCTTCGTTATAGAGACTAGGATCAGCTAATAAGAGTACTAGATATATTTCGTAGCCGAACCGAGCGGACTTCGTCACCTAATCGGCCTATTAAGTCTTAGCAGGTTTTTCCTTATGGTCCGAGACCTACATCCCTCTGAATTCTGTAAGAATTAGTCTTGGCATATGGAGACAATACATATATCCCTACTCTCTTAATACTATTGTATCTTACCTGGCCGACAGGCCATACACCTGAAGACAATATATTCTTTACAACATATATCCTATATAATGTATATCGCACCCAATTCTCCTTTATATGTCTTTTCCAGTCCTTGTTCAGATGCCCTTTCAGATGCCTTTTCAGAAGGGCTTTTCCACTATATAAGGTGTGAATCTCAACTAAAATTCTTGGTGGGTCTGACTGCCTAACTTCCCTGATTTCAGGTGCCAAGGTATATAGACTTATCGACTAATGCCTGGTCAGGAATCATTGCTGCCTATTCTCAAATGATGGTCAGTAATGCTTAGGAAATGGGGTAATATGGCAGAACTGGACCAGTTTCAGTTTCCCACGTTCGCACAACCACCAGGACTATGTAACTCCTTCGTGCGTCGTGGCAGACGAACCCCATTACACGATGCATGGTGGCTACTCCTTCCATCCATGCAAATCACGGCCGCCCGCTGCTAGACATCCTGGACACCCTTCCGAATATGCTGTCGGATGTCTATCGGCGCCATTCGCACTGCTGATGATCTCAACGTGGTCTCAGATGCCTTCTCCCTACATGAACCGACGGCTAAGTAACCCAGAAACCTTCGAACATCGTCTCTATCTGCGCCTGCTGACGCATTTCAGGGACCACACGGGCCGTCACATTGACGCGGACACTCGCGCCGCGATCAATGATGCCTTCCACGTTGGGGGCGTTGGCCCGCGACCACGCCGCGGCCTACGCGAGAGAGATGCCCAGAACATGCAACAATTTGCAACATGCCTCCATCGCAGGCACCATGGCGCGTTTAGCCGGTGAATACTATATTGAACTCCCCGAGAACCAGGTGGCTGGGGCCACCCAGCAAATTGCAAGGGAAACTGCAAAGATATCTCAACAACCTTCCACTGAACGAATGGATCAATTGGTCCTCTGATGAAATCTGTTTATGGCCTTCAACAGGCATCTAGAGAATGGTATATACTACCCCATGACGCACTTCTCGCAATGGGGGTTTAAAAGCTCCGTGCCGACCACTCTATCTTTGTAAAATGGCTTAACAAGGGAAAGGTCGCAATCTACATTGTTATCTATCTACATAGATCATATCCTGGCTTTCTCTCCCTCCGACAAAGCAATTCCTGCTTTTAGATCCGGAAACATTTCAACCTGACTAATAAGGGCCTAGTGGCTGAATATCTGGGAACTGAAGTTATCCGCCGTGAATGCCAATTCTGATTAAACTTCTCAAACGAAGTTTGCAATACGTATCTTGTTTTGGTGAATGGCTTTCAGCTAAAACTAAATAGAGTAAGATTTGGCTGAGACGGAGAAGACAGTGGATATGCGGAACATGAAGACCTGAAAGTCCGACCTGACGAGACCTTGAGCTTGGTAGACGACTCCCTAAGTCAGCCACCTCGTCCCAGCTGATCGGCTGTGTCCCAACCACATCCAAAGAAGTCTTGCGCCGTCGTTTCGACCACGAAACATAACAGTATGCCACTGTGGCCGAGTCGACTACCTTGGAGGTATCTACCCGGCCCCGGGGCCACTTTAGTCGGAATCTTGGACACGCCAGATGTTATCTGCAATGGCCTTTAGGCTTTTTCTCTATCCTTCGGTGCAGACTTTGCTCGTAATATCAGGCTCTCCAATTCAATTACCAATGGAGCATCTGAAATTGCCATCTCCCTCACTTTCCTTCTCAGCGCTCTCGATTTCTCTGGATCCTATTAATTAGTCCGTTGCCCTGTCCGATTTGTATTTGTCGAGGGTTATATGGGCCTTTTTTCTGTTCAGTTTGAGGGTCAACGCTATGTTCACGTTGTCTCTGGTTGGATCCAACCAAATGTCGCGTCGCGTCGCGCTCGAGCTCGAGCTGCGACTCCGACACTGCACTTCAAGAATATTCGTCCTATTCCCATTTTTCAAGGGTGATGTGCGGCTTTCTTCTGTCCAATTTGAGGGTCAACGCTTTGTTGGCGTTTTCGCTTGGGTTTGACACACTAACCTCGAGAACGGCAGTCGGTTTGCCAGGTGATGGCCGGATGGGACCTTCTTAGAGGAAGATTCCGGAGAGGGAGAGCCGGCCATTAGGTTGGTTACTCGCAGGGTGGTAGGGAGATGTGCAGGCATGCCGGTCGAACCCAAGCATCCATGTTCCTATGCCATCCGGTACGATGATGATAGGAAATATTAAGGGAAGGATAGTAAACGCATATATTGGAGGATAGCGTATGCTTAGGTTGCACACCTATGCACCACGGGAAGGTGCTGTATAAATAAAACCGTCAGTCTTGGCAGGTACTATATAATAGTGCCTTCCCCCTAGGAAAGTGTAGTTCGCCGGCTTCACAGTAGATTTTGCACGCTATACTACTTATATACATAGGTAATGGATGTATATCGCACTAATTCTCCGCACCAGATGTCTTTCATATTTTTTCCTATTTCTTTCCAAATGCCTTTTTAGAAGCATTTTCTGACGCACTTTTAGACGTCCTTTGATATATCTTGCTTGCATTGACGCTTTGCTTGCTTACATGCGGCTTGTCCATCAACGTGCCTGCACTAACGATCTTCCATATTGTTACTGAGACATGGAAGCAGTGGTACCGCGCAGTTAAAAGCTCAACAGAGGACCACATCCCACATGAACAGCAACTGTGGAACTCAGCCATTCCAACCGACCAGCCCTGGATGACCTAGTGGTGATACTTGATCTCTGCCCTGGCGATCACTCGAAATACCACGTCGGCCCGTCACTCGAAACCCCGAGTCATTAGAAAGGTGACCAGAAGCGATCATATTCGTACTCAAACACCAGCGGTCAAGATGGTCGGCGAGAGAGTGCTGACTACAACGGACCAGACGAACGTCATGATCACCAAGATGACTATAGGGTCAGGCCTGCACCAATAGGCAGAAGCCTGTCTTCATCGTCTTGACATATAGCCCTCAATTGTGGTAGGTTTTCCAACGTACCAGTTTCTTTAACCAGGCCGCTGTGTACAGTAGCTGTGGACGGGGCATGATTATTGCGCAGCTCCCGCCTAGAACCCAAATCCCGAACACGCTTTCCGCTCATTCTTTGTACCGCACTACGTCCCCATTTGCCTACGTCTATTACTCTATGGAAGCGTAGATGGGCTGTCCGCAAAGGAGATAGCACGACCAAGAATTGTGAAACCTGTTGTGCCTCAACGACCTACGAAAGTCAACGAACGGAAACCCCTTTACGTGACGGCGGAATTGACCAATACGCAGCTCACCTGGAAGGAACGAACTGAAATTTCTTCTCAACTAGGACATCTGTTCGCTGAACACAATTCGGAAGCAAAGGACCCGACTAATATCACTTCACATAAGACTCACAATGCTCGGACCTTGATGAGCGTACTGCAACAGGCGGTTGATTTCCCCAACCGGCGAAGCGACAAAATCAGGCGGGTGCACAGACAGGGCTCGAGAGACAGCGATCTATGTCGGCTATAAAATTTACGCGCGACGACCACACCCCGAACTCGCAATTATGCGCGCCTGATACATCAGCCGTCGACCCACTGATTCCACCATCAGACTATGCTAGTGAGCCAAGCAAATGCCCAGGTAAGGAGACCACGATATGGTCTTGCCTATTCTTTATAGGGCAAGGATTTGACCGAAGTGAACGAAATCAAGTTCCTACAGGTAAGAACCGGTGGGAGAAACATGGAGGCACTACGCAATTCCTGGCCTGCGAGTCTTTTGGCCCGCACAAAAGCGGGTGTATTAGTGATAGACATGGATCTATGCGCAAAGAAAGACAATCTCATCCGAACCCATCACACGGAGGCCTTGCCTTTTATTGGTGCTCATTGAAGAGAAGAGCTCTTCCACGGTTTTTTCCGAGCTCAGCATCTTAATTCCTGCCCTACCGGTGGTTAATTCTGGGGATGAGAACCTCTGCTTGCAAATCAAAGAGTGCCGCCTTAACTTGAAGATGGTGGTTGGCATCGCCTACTACCAAGGCAGGCGATTTTCTAGAAACACTGTAGGCGGGGATAGAGGAAGTTGCCCGCTATATTACCAGGTGACCAATCAGCCTCTTCAGGTTAATGCGGAACTATTTGAGAAGCAAAGAGGGATTCTCATCCCCGGTATTCGGTGTAAAGTAGAGTTTAATCAGTATCCTATACACTGGTAGGGATCGGAGTCAAGAAGCCGCGCTCGTGGAAAAGGCAGCAATCCATAGAAGAGTCCTTCTCTTTGCTGAGCATCAATAAAAAGGCAAGGCTTTTGTGAGATGCCTTCGGACGAGATTTTCTCGTTTTTTTACTCATCAATCCACCTCTATCACCAATAGAAGTACTCTCATAAGGGAAATCTTGTTCATACGAGGGGTTTCGGAGGTAACCTTCACCACAGCGAATAGGGAACCAGTCCTTTTGGTCGGCAGTACCCAAAGCAGGGAGATAAAGGTGTTTGACAAACAGAATGGGGAAATTCAGTGCAAGATCTCTGGCTTTAAAGCCAGGGAATCAGGAGAATAATATATGACAGATTTGATATGAGACACGGGTGAATCAGGGGGAAATTGGATCATGGCGGTCAGTGGAAGTTGTCTTTAGTATTCAGTGGTAACCTGCATATCTGGGCAGTCCAGGTACTCAGTCTGCCACCAAAAACAGGCGTCCATAGGAGATGCGATCATGTCAACACAAGTAACTCCTATACGCTGCCACGCAGGCTTAGTCTATTAGTAGTGAAAGTGACACCGTCATGTTGTTGTGGCTTATAAGCTTGTCTACGTGGTTTAATTGATACCTCAGCCATGTACTTCCGTATGCATGGGATATATTATGTAGGAAGCATTGAATTTTCCTTCCTGTATCGCTGATACTTACTTTCCATCCACTTTGTGCGAAGCCATAGTGTCCAGGAAGCCCACTGCTGCACCTGTAGATATCAACTAGCACAAGTAATACATTATTATACTTTTCTGGAGTTTTCTCACCCAAGCCCGCTGCAGGGCCTGATTTAGCACCAAAACAGCGGTGGCCGGTAATAACACGCGGATTTAAGCATCTGGTGGGCCCTGTGGGTCTGGGCCCCACCAGTCCATATAAGAGCGTCTTGTCGCTGTTTCGGACTTACCTTGTGCCTCCTACGCAGCACACACCATAGGAATCCAAACACACCGGAATTCAAAATGGAAACCCCACAGCATGATATCGCCCAAGGAAGCGTAGAGCGTACCTTCCTTGCGCACTCAGATCCATCATCGGAAGACAATTCGCGAGGGTTGACGGATGCAAAAGAACGCCGGAGAAGACAGAATCGTATAAATCAACGAAATCACCGTATGCTATTCGTCATTATCTGATTATTTTGGGCTCAAAGTTCTAATTTCCATCCGTATGAAGGCGAAGCAAGGAAGAGAATGCATCTTGCAAGTCGATATCCAACGACACCAACGAGACCAAGCAGTCTTCGTTCGTTTCCTCGCGCTGTTCTGCCTATTCCACCCGGGCCGTTGGCTATAATGGATGAATCTCTCAATTCTCCTCAGCGACTTTCAAATGAGCCAACTACACAACCACAACTCCACGATGGAGCCTCAGGTTTCAAATCCAGGGATCAACCATCGAGTCGTGACAGTCCCTCCTGCCCAAACAGGTCGCCCTCCTCAACCTTGATGCCACTCTGGTTCGAAATACCATGTGAGCAAAAGCGAAAAGCATTAATTCAGCAACTCGCTACATTCTATACCAGCTACACCATGAACTGTCCTACATCCAGCCACCTCCTCACCCTGACGAAATTGAACGTTCATCGGGCCTTCGTGGGCAATATGGTTTCGCTTGGGTTTACCTGGGAATGGATGCAAGATGATTCTGTATCTCCACTCAGCGTGGTAGGACCGACCAAAGAGTTCGGATCTCTACCAAATAGTTTGCTCCCGACACTTCTTCAGCAACGAAGTGTGCACCATACATGGATCGATTTGTTTCCTTGTCCCATTATGCGAGATAATTTACTTCGGGCGGGCAATGAGTGGGATGATGAAGAGCTTTGTGTAGATATTATGGGTTTCTGGGATGGAAATGTAGGAGATTCTCATGGGTTGGTCGTCTGGGGTGAGCCTTCTGATCCTCGGAATTGGGAAGTCCAGCCAGGATTCGTGAAGAAATGGGGATGGGTTATTCGGGGCTGTGATGAGATTATATATTCCACAAATCGGTGGAGAGCAAAGCGAGGGGAACGACCCTTGTTCGCTGCGTCATTCCTTACTTCCTCTTAGATGATGGGATTTTTATCCTTTTTATATCATTATGCAAGAAGCTACTGTGACAAACATTTCCACACTTTGTGATATCGCATGAAGTTTCGTTTAACTCCGTAACTTTGTACCTTGAGATCACCGTGACCTTCCAGAAGAGGTCCCACTTCGTGTCGGCGGGATAATTATTCCAGCCCAGCCAATCAGATAGGACTGGCTTCGGAGATTCAGAATAATAAACCTTCGAATATCCACGGTCTACAAGAATTTATTAAGCTTCTCTCGCCAGCAATATTCGAAAATTTCGACTTTCTCAATTGTGTACATTTCTTCATACATCGACCATTGCTCTGGAGAGCTGTTGCTGAGGCACCTCATCAACCTCCTCAGTGCCCCACCGCGTCGTGACTGGTCATAACATCGAACGCCCCGCTCCAACACAACTCGTACCTCAACATCCATTCAACAGTAATGATACCAACCTGACACCGTTCTAGTACACTACAGAACAATCAGGAGATGTCAGTAGTACTCAAGGCAAAGCTCTCCTGAAACCACATACCACCACCGGGGTCGGGCTTTACTACCCACGATCTACAATATTAATAACAATGCTTAGCCCGAACGAATCAACCCCGCTTTAGGTCCTGAATCCTACAATATATGCTGTCATGCTCCATAGTGGATGTAACGAGATTGACTAAGTGCATAAGTGGATAAGTGGATACCAAGGTTTAGTCGAGATCAAAACGTCTACAAATCTGACAGGTTACAATTTAAGAATGGAAATTGATTTATATTATATAAAAATAACTCGAGGGGAACTTCGTCCCCCGGAAAAGAATGAATGTACATCCACAGTGGTTAATCTGACGTATCATGTCAACTTTGACGACAACTCATATATACCTGTCAACAGTTTCAAAAAACCGGACCTACTTAAGATCCGCACATCCGAGAGCGAGGGTGCCACCCTAGATATCAGTTAGTCATACACTCTCCGCGGAGGAGTCTGCGTTGAAGATTATCACTTACCAGGAGACTAGCCTCGGTGCAGCACTGGGGCTTGGTGGGACAGGTAGCTTCCTCATAGCCGTGGCCTGTGATGAATGTTAGGCGAATTCCCATCCGGTAAATACAAGAGAATCCAAACATACAGAGAAGACCAATGGATCCAACGATGTTGGCAGCATCAATGCCAAGGGCCAGCAAGAGGGGGTCGACAACGGGGTCGAGAGGAGTGGTGAGAGTTCCACAGCAGAGGAGGGGACCGACACATTCCGAGGTATCAGGCTCTGAGCGCTTCATGGAGAGGTTGGAGTCCTGGGGGAGGGCGGATACCATGCCAGCGCCGATGACGGAGAGGACGGAGAGGATAGAGAGTCTCATTTTGATGGAGATTGTCGAGTTGAAAAGAGAAGAGTACTTGCTGTTGCGATGAAGAAACGTTTGCGAGCGTGGATGATGTCTTCGAATACGTGGAATATGCAGGTCCTTATATAGCTTTCACGGCAAGATATTCAATATATCAATTGCCTTATGCAACCGCCCCTGCGTCGAATAATTAAGTACGCTTATCATCAGGGTCAGATTGTGGACATCCGTTTGTGAGTAGTAAAAAGAACTACCCGAGGAGTCCCTATCTCAGTGGGCAAGAAGATCTGCGATAGTATAGATACTTACATGGTATTTGGTCCAATATGAGAGGCCAAATAAGAGGCTTCGACGTCGAGCCGAGGTATACGGGTGATGGAAGGGCAGTCATTATTACTGGAAGAGTGGGCCCAGTTCCTTCGGTTGAAACCGACATAGTGCACATCCATGGATGCATAATTCAGATGAGTCCCAAGCGAGCTGTCGATCACTCTTGGTCCATGCTTAGTCTCATTAAAAGGCTTGCAGTCTGCTGGCTCCATGTGAATGCCAAGTCCAATAGCCAGCGGGTCAATCCCCCGGTTATTTCCTCTCCATCTCTCCGGATCGGGGAGTGCCTTATCAGTGGACCTGGTTTCCGGGATGATCAGCGCTGTGGCATCGAACCAGAAGCGCCAAGATGTCAATCCGCTGCAAGGAACAGATTGAGCCATTCTTTCCTTCCGATCGGCGTATCAACCAGGCAAAGAATTCAATTGATGAACAAAAAGCAAATAATGTCCCCTACTCCACAGTGTTATCAGCAGTCGCCGCAGTCTGAAATTTGTCATTTCTCTCCCGTTCGAGCGCATACTGCGGTTGAGCCGGATCGAGACGTTTGAGATAAGTCTCGCACCGTTGATTGCACGGAGTCGAACCGGCCTGCGGGCAACAAGGGGATGAGCAATTTTTTCTTGTCAATTTATGTCAAACCCGTTGATGAAACTTTATCTACTAAGACGAATGGATAGATAGATAACTGCGTACGGAGTAGTAATCCACGACAAAGAATGGTCTGGGTATGTAGCTGCTAGTATGTGAATGCAGCGTTGTATCACATAGTGCTTTATTTCTCAGGCAACCAGCTTCTTCTCGTAACTTCGTCGAAACATCTCGTCGACCTGGACAAGGTAGTAAGTACCTGGAGCCAGGCTATCAACACTTCCCACAGGGGTATAGCTCTTCTGTTGGTAGGCTTTCTCCCGGAGTTTGCACATCTGTCATTGTTAGAAAGCAACTGCCTAGATAATATGCTCCTCGAGCAACCAACAAATGGAAAACTTACCTCGTTATAAAATTCCGGCGAGACCGCCGTCCGAGCTTCCAGGCGCTCATTCAACCGAACATGCTGCGCGATCCCAGAAGTGTCACCCTTGACACGGAAACTAAATAGAGTGCTAGCCAGACCACCGCCGTAGCTGAACATGCCGATGCGCTTGTTCTGCAGTTCTTCACTAACAACATTGCTCAGCAAGCTTACCAGCCCAGAGTAAAGACTAGCGGTGTACATATTCCCACAATTTGTGGGTGCTGTAATGGATGGTTGGACACGCTCAAGGAACCTTTCCTTGGTCAACCCGATGCAAGCCTTCTCGACTCCTTTGTTCGTCAGAGACGCAGTCTGCTCAACATCGCGGACAGGTGCTGGAATCTCATCAAAGTGGTCGGGCTCCATCCGGACATCGTTGAACAACAGACGACCGTACGCCTTAGAGACGAGCTTGCAGTAAGGCGCATGAAAGGCGAAATAGTCAAAGGTATCCAAGAAGCTACCCTGAGCCATTGAAGCTCCGTTCGTCAACCCACCACTTTTAGCCAGAGATTTAGCACGATACCGCTCGTAGCAGTTGTCCAATGCCTCAATATAGCATGTGTTGGAGTAATGCCCATCGACAATGGGGTACTCCGATTTAAAGTCCCCTTTGTAGAAGTCGTAGACGTGCTTCATGTACGTTCCACGGAAGGGCTCCAGCGCCAGGGGCGCATCGACACCAATGAGCATGGCCACACAGCCAGCGCCGCCAGTCGGGCGGGCGGCGGGCTTGTCGTACAGAGCAATATCTCCCGCCACGACAATTGCGTCGCGGCCGTCCCACGTGGACGATTCGACCCAGTTGATTGCATTCAATAAGGCATTGGTTCCACCGTAGCATGCGTTGTAAGTATCGACTCCCTCAATGTCCGAGTTCTCCCCAAACAGTTCCATGAGAACCGACTTGCAAGACTTGGATTTGTCAAGCAACGTTTCCGTTCCCACTTCCAAGCGGCCAATGGTCTTTGGGTCAATTTGGTACTTTGCAAGCAGGAATGAGACCGCTGTGAGCGCCATGGAGTAGATATCTATGAATATGACCACATTATATTAGCATGGAATATGGAGTATAGGCTATTAAGTGTGTCTGTATACCTTCGCGGTCATCACAGAAGCTCATCTTCTGCTGACCTAGGCCAACCGTGAATTTCCCAACACTGGCCCCCATATAGGTCTCGAGCTCGCTTTGTGACACGTACTGTACAAAAGGAGTTATGTTAGTTGCCCAATGGGGTCAATTGCAGAGCGGGCACTAAATTATACTTACCCGGCTAGGGAAATAAATTTCCAGGGCCTTGATGCCCACATTCTGGGCGTTCGAGGGCATGGTTCCCACAGTTGTAGGCAACAGGTTGAGACTATGGGTCTATGGTTAGGGAAGGATATAAGAAAGGAACCCTGTAATGGTAGGAAAACTCAAGAAAAGAAAAGAAAGAACAAGGTGGAATGCGTGGAAGCCCCCAAAGAGGCACCGCACTCATTTATTCGATTGAGTCAGCGGAGCTGCAAAGTACAGCGTTGAGATGAGAATTAGCGTAGGCATCACCCATGGCGATGGGGCCAAAAATGAAACACAGCCAGGCACTCACATAGCTGTGATGGCTGCTACCCTGTACATCAGAGCATTTCCCGTTGACATGGTCCAACGCTGCAAAAATAGCGTATCCAAGTGATTCAAGAGTGCCATACTGCTGAATATTGTAAGGTTGCAGCGATCTGAAACATCCAAAACGAGAAAATGAATGCCACTTCTTCACCATGCTCCCATTAGTCTCCAGTGTCGTGGGTCAGAAGGGGCAAGCCGATTATACCAACACCATCAAAAAAAATATTATCCGCCTTCGTCACCTAGCGTCGCAGGCTCGGCCTAGCCGGCAACTCCGTCGACTGGGCGCTATTCGAGACATCGGCAGCACGAGTCGACCCGTTAAAGGGTTTCGGCTCCGACGTCAGGCCCTAATGAACGAAGCTCTAATCTCAAAGGTCCTCGAATTTTCACTGAAGCAGCAAATCATGTCCATGAGCGAGGCGAGTGCTGGCCAGCTCGCCACCTCGATTGCTGTACCTCAGCCCGAGAACCCTCAAACCTTTTGCGCGGCACTCATCTTGAGCGACGGCCAAGATCCGGAACTCAATAGCGACGACAGGGACGCCGGTCTTCAGGTATTGCGGGTCCATGTTAATAACAAGGAAGCCGTTGCCGCGATTCATGATGCCGTCATCAATGTTACCGTTCACGGGTGGGTCAGCTCGCCATTTGACGGTGAGTTTGAGCGAGCCAATGGAGCCGACCAAGGCTCCTTCGAAATATGGATCATGTCCCTCGCTGTAGTAGTGTTTATGAATTGGGCAAAGTTAGATCTTAAGGCGGTAGTGACTAGTCTGGATATCATTTCTCCCACGGGCCTAGAGCAGCTGGCCCGGAAGATTGTCGCCCGTGCGATAAGGATCCCTGCAACTGGAGATATATCCATGGATAGAGAAACTGATTATTTGATCCGTACGGACTGGGGAGAAGAAGAAGGAAAGAGCGAGTTGGGGGGGAGAGAGATAGCAAACAAGGGTGCTGTCAACATTTATGACTTCGTGGTTGCAATATATATATATTCAGCTTTGAGCAATGTAATTTTCAATACCATGATATTGCAGCTTTTCGATTTTCTTAAAATTGATATATAGTGTTCAAAAGTCTTATCGATGGTTATCGAATGAGAACGAAACCAAATAACAACGTGGTTGCTAAGATACAAGTGAAGAATATATCGCATTTACTATGTGTTTCGGACTGCGCCGCTCGCTTGTGTGCGCCACTCGCATGTGAAATACGTTATGGCAGTCTTATCGCCTAGAATGCATAAGAGAAACGTGGTATGTCTGGATAAATGGACGGGTCAATTAAATGAACGCAATATTTCTGCTCTCCGCCGTTCTCATTTGTCCCAGGAGTGGCAGCGTCGAGGTTCATCCCAATACCAATCCATGTTATTCTGTATTTCAACATGACGTCTTCTGAATTTGAATTGGCATGAATCTCAGTCCTTATTTCCATTGACCTACGAACTTACATACTCATTATGCATTACTACAAATTTAGGCTTCCATTGATGATGTGAATCGAAGGCGGATATTTCGGACGATATATACTCTCAAATAAGCCTATCATATTTTTGAATCCGCAGTAGTCTTAAAAATCAAACATTGAAAACAGGTAACACAGAAATATCAAATTCAAAATTTATAGCAATTCACATTCTCCCTTTCCGTTCCAGCATATTCCTGAGACCTTCGGTTTAATCTATTTTTCTTCGCAAATAATGACCACACCGGCTTTAAGCATGGACGCGGAGCTTGGTAACCTCAACATGGGGGAATGTCTCCACATCAATCTGAGCCTGAGTGATCTTCGCCTCGATAGCTGCTGCGCTAAGAGCAGCGCGGGCAACGGCATCAGTGTCACAAAGTGTGACCGAGTTCACGCCCGGTCTGGCACCAGCAGCGGTCACCCAGTGGACTCCTTCAGTTGGAACACCGACAGCAAATCGCTTTGGGTGCACGCGACCATGGGTGTCAATGAGATTGTATGGGCTTTGAGTCACATCAAGACCACCAGTCTCGTATCCGTCAATTGTGTGAGCACGGCATTGACCAGTCTTGAACAAGTGGGAAAGAAGCTCGTCGCCCGTGTTGCGGAGCGTCGGCTCTGGCAAGCGGGCTTCGATCAATGTGGTAACCCGAATCGGCTCGCCTGGCACCTCGGGCGAGTGGACCAGCCAAGCCTCGTCCTGGGCCTTCACCTGTGGACGGGGACCGAGGACTTCCAGAACTCCAGCCTCCATGAGAGCAATCATTTGCTCAATACGTTGGCGAGGGGGTCCAATCGACAGGTATGCGTTGAGAGGTGTGTACCAGCGATCGAGATCCTTCCGGTGAGAAGTGCCGGTCAATCCATTGTGATCTACGATGAGTCGGAGTTCGTTTCGCAGATCGCGCATCACGTCCAAAGCTGCCTTTAGTGGACCATTCAAATTTCCAAGTGCGGCCTCCTTGGCATCTTCGCGAAGGTAGTCGATCAACCACTCACGCCACTGACTGGTAGTGTTGAAAACCTGGTTGCCTTGTGGGCGCTGGATACGTTCCCAGGACCACCACTTCTCTTCCGAAATACCGAAGTCACGAAGAACTTGCTCTTCCTCTGGACTCTTCGGCTCAGTTTCCAGGAACCTCTTCTGGAAGTCGGTCTGGTCCGACCCATCGCGCTTTAGTAGAGCCAAGTAATAAACGGTTTCTACTTCTTTCGACACGAGAGGCCAAATATCCTGGAGGAAGTCTGGAGCTTTTCCAGCATCAGAATGCTTGCGGAAAGCATTGATGACTTCTTCGGTGAAGACGAGGGGCATGTGACGGCCGTATGCCCCTTTGCCGTTATCACCGCGGGAGTGGTATGGAATGCCACGACGAGATCCGGCAATCATCCGAGGCTCGTTCCCGGATGGGTGATATTTCAAGCCGTTGGGGGCTTCTGAGAAAGTACCACCCCGGGATGTTGTTAACAAAGCCATGTAGTCGAAGAAGTTGAGACCAAGACCACGCAGGAAAACGTTCTCTCCAGGAGCAATAACAGAAAGATCAACATCCGCTGGATTCGAGGGCGTAATATGACGAAGACCATTCAGCTCTGCGTAAGCGTTGAGTTTCCGCTGTTCAACGTCGAGAAGCAGCGGGACGTGACCCTGTGCAAGGACGACAGCTGCGAGGCCGGAAAGGGTGCGGCCATTTGACAGCTTGAGCGTTTGCTGGCCATAGGAGGTGTCGTCCAAGCGGACGGCAAAAGCAGGATGAACCTCAATTTGCACTCGAGGCGGTGCTTGTCGCACAATCTCTTGGAAGATCCATTCGAGATATTGGCCGTACTGGGCACGGGTTCCATAGTCATCAGGCCCAAGGCCAGGGATCTTGTCGGCAGCCCAGGTGTAGAGACTTGGCCCTGGACGGATTGGGCCTGAGCAGATAATGCTATCATCAGTGAACAGGGTCACCTGGGAGGTGACGGTGTTCATCAGAAGTTGGTCTGACTGCTCTGTACGCCAGACCCGACCCGCACCTGGGGGCGATGGATCAACGATATGAACCGTCAGTCGCCCTCCTGGGGCAAGAAACTCCGGTGCTGAGGCACAAAGACGCTCCAGAGCGCTAGTTCCTCGAGGCCCAGCGCCGACAATGGCAACATGGGTGTGCACCTCGGTAGGTTGAATGGCGGAAGGCATTGTGATTTTGTTTTAGGGAAATGAATTGACGAAGTAGGATTTTTAAATGCAGACAGCAGAAGTAAGGTTTCCAATTGTAGTGCTTATACTCTTCGTATACCGAGTGTCTTCAGAAGAGGCAGTTGGAAAGTTGTTGGAGATAATGCAGAGGAGCTCACAGCCATTTTATATTCTCTCAGTACATCAGGCCATCAACTGAGGTCTTTCTTGACCTGACATCGTTGGTCTCGCCATTGAGACGAAACAATGAGGGATGGTGCCTTCCGTGATTCACACGTGCAGCATTCCAGACCGATAATCCGCAACATGAGCAGCAAATAGGCTACTGTCATGATGAAACGCCTTGAGACCGAGTCCAACTTTTGGCAAATTGACGCCGTCAGGGTTGGAGAACTGAAGATCTCGAGGCAGTTGATCAGGGTCCACACCCCTTCAATCTACATTTGGAGTAAAAGAGCCACGAAACCAGATGGCGAATCTGGCTTTTCGGCCCGCATTGCTTTGTGCTAGGGCAAAAAGTGGATCCTATCTCGCAAGAGGAATAACATATGAGGCTACTAGACGATGACCTTGCATGTATATAGTGACCATGCATACGAGGTATGACAGTGTGGGCGTCTGCAGCGCAGATCAAAGGCAACTATGAGACGCTGAAAATTTTCCGGTGGCCCGAAATGCATAGGTTATGCAACTCAATATTGTGCAAGATTTTGGAGGCGAATTGTGGGACAGAACTTTAGTTAGGAATATTCTCATCATCCGAACAACAACCTACACGCGAATGGACGAGCTCAACTCCCTTCCCTTGAGACATGTAGATGTTAATTACGGTGGGATGACTGATATGGTAAGTTGAATAGACATGATGGCTTGATGGCAACAGCCTCTATAGTTTATAGTCGCAAAATCCGAGACCACGCAGGTACGATCGACATTTTAGTTGTTCTAGACAATGGATGCGGCTAGAGCAGAGTCTGAGCAGGATTTAGACAAAGTGACTTAAGTGACTTTCCTTTTCTATCCGTACGAATGTCACGTATTCAAATGGATGGTATGTTCTTCGTGTGGAAGTATCAACTCAGAACCACGCATAAGCATGATATAGACATTCCAAACTACTCGTAATTTCCATGTTAGAATAATGATGAGATGATGAGATTTCTCCCTCCACGCCAAATCAGACCTCCGGACGCTTATATTCGCCTTTCTCTATCATCTCCTTTATGGTTTTCTCAGTCACCATCATTGCCTCGACACCGGCAGGGGTGCCACAGTAGACTGTTGCCTGCAGAACGGCCTCTCTGATCTCTATCTCTGTCAGGCCGTTGTTTATAGCACCTCGAGTGTGCAAAACCAGCTCAAGCCATGCTTTCTGAGCAATGATGATTCCAATATCTATACAGTATCCCCAGTAGATATTAGCAACCTCAGTCTCTCACTCTCAGTGCCTCGCGGATCATGCTGGAATTCGACTTACTCAGAAGGCTGCGTTGCTTTCGGTCTAGCCCCGGGCGTTGCCAGACAGTACCCCATGCCCATTCCGTGATGAGCTGCTGTCCGGGCATCGTGAATGGTGTGGCATTTTGCAACGCGTTATTGACGTACTCATCTCCAAGGACTGCTCTCCGCACTTGGACTCCTTCGTCAAAGAGCTGCTTGTGTAGCTCCTCAAACTTCGAGTTGTCGGACATGTTTGCAAAAAGGAAACGATATGACTTGGGATGCAGGTCGCAATGGCGATTCTGATTCGCGGGAAAATAGGCAACGGTGATATTTCACTGATTTTTTGGCAACGCTTCTCTATTTGACATCGAAATATTTACGAGACAAACAAGCTGGATTTAACCGACGGTTTCTTCATCCAGCGTCCCTTTGACTAGGTTAGAATTCGTGTCTGCAGCCTAACTTGGGTCCACTGAAGATCTTCCGTCAACGGTATGAAACAGCTGTGGAGCTGAACCGCAAGAAGCCTAAAAACTTTGAGGTTTCCTGCGTACGTTTGTCAGCTTAGGTAGCGGTCGTTATATTCGTCAGAAACATGCAGAAAACAATTCCCGCCTGTGGAGCTTGGCTCTTAACTCCGCAATACCCGCTCAACTAGGCGAACTTGGCCTTCTCCACACAGGAGGGACCTTATAACCCTTCATGTTCGTAACACGAAGTCCATTTTCCTAATTAATAGCCTGCCCCGTGAAGGTGGCTGAGCTCTGAAACGGAACCCACTTATGTGTCATAACCATGGTCTAGATCCAGGAACTGTAACTTGTCATGTCTGGACCTCGCTTAAGTCCAATAGACCCATGGATCGTAGACATGTCCAAATCGGTCTCCGTGACGAGTTTAGGTACCCTTCTGGTGTCCAGCGGGCGGGCAGAGGGGCCGCTAGTCCGCTCTCCTGCACGTACTGGGCAGTCCCATAAGTCAAAAGTGGGGACACCGTAATATGCATAAAGTTATGTCGAATGTGCCCTATTTGATTATATCAAAGCTATACCTATAGATGAATTCTTGCAGCAGCCATTGTAGTTGCCTGGCTGTTCTTTTAGTATATCCCTGATTATAGGACCGTCTTCAATATACACCAAACTCAAGTTGCACGCATCTATATCACCAGATACTGTCTTCTTCTAGGCTTTAGTGATCTTCAGTGCGATCCGATATTCCGATCTCACATGAAATACGTATACAATATTTCGGGGTATTTGTCAACCACGACCTACAACCTCTTTACGGGTCGAGGGATAAGAAAAGTGGAGTTCTAGCGGGTTTTGATAACTTAGATCGGCAAGGCTTCGTGCCTTTAGTTTAGAGACTTCGAAACATATCCCGACGCTAAGGGCTAGCGTTGATGAAGATCGGTAGGCCACGAACCTAGATATTCTATCATGTTAAGCCTTTTTGGGTACTTTAGTTCTAACCTTGCTGACGGTAGAAATTATACCCTGATTTTTTAGGGGTCTCAATTAGTGACGTGGTACTCCTAACCTATACCCTGCAGTTTTTTCAGGGTCATACGTTAAAAATAGACGATGGTTTAAACCTCAAGTTTGTAGCAATGGTAGAACTTGAATAGTTGCAATCAGAGAGAAAAGGTGTGTTCCTACGTCGAAAGGTACATAATGACTATAACTAGTACAAGTAACCTTTCCAAGGTTCCAAGGTTTCTTATTTTGCTGAATCATCGGGTTATGCACCTGGCCCTGGAGGAGGCTTTAGACAAGGTTTGAGCAGTCCACGGGCGGACGCCTATTCCCCGGCCAAAGTGGGTCCGCACTACTCAGGTTGGAAATGCCAAGAGTTGGAGTACAGCTTCATTCGTCACCCCGATCGTATACGAGCCATTTTACTAGACGATATGAACTATCAGTGCACAAAAGAGCACGACTTTAACACTATTTACGGTGATTTGACTTCGTAAATCAAACTTCTGCTAGTCTATGTACACTCCCAGAAGACTAACGGGAGACAGACCAAACCACGATGTACTATAGATATAGATCGACGACGTAGAACATCAAATTAGGGCTCGGTTCGCTTAACTTACCCTTCTCCACCATATCACCGATCGTCGTTTCTGCGTACCATAGTAAAAACTGCTGCCTGCGGTATCGATTTCCGAGAGGCCGTTGTTACTCGGAATACCGCACTGGTTCCGAACCAAGCCGGGTCGCCTCCAAATGTTGGCCCAGACCCACTCGGTAACGAACCCCTGTCCGGGTCGGGAGAAGGCGTTGACGTTGTGCATAGCCCGGCCCACGTACTCGTTGCCAAGGACCTCCCAGTGCACCTTCAGCCCTCTTCAAAGAGTTGGTGGCAACCAAGTTGTCGATATTCGGGTCCGTAGACATAAACATCGGTACGGGTATATATGAACATGAATAGGGATATGTGTTAGAATATAGAACAGGGGAAGGAACAGTTAGAACCTCTTAACGAGCGCATTCTCTCCGTAACTGCAAGTCTAGCCTTGCCATGTGGTTGGTCCCTGCATCCCTCGCTGGATTGGCCGGGTCTTCTGAATTCCGGCCCCACCTCTCTTCTTGACTTCTTGCCTGCTTTGGATCCACCAAGGACCTAAATCCATAGGGGACTAGAACAGACAAGTGTCCCCAAGCTTGCGCGCTTTTGCATATGGTTTGGTTGGCTCTCGGTGGTCCAGCTATGTTTGACTAGTACAGGGGTTTTTCTGCCCTTCCGAGTTGGAGACTTCTCTTGGCTAAGTAAGCGGGCCTCGGGGGTTCCTCGGAAGATCCAATGTTTTAGATTAAGGTTTAGATCTACAGAATGCTTGGGTGGGTATTTTAAATTTCTCGCCCTCTACCTTCATCACCTCAGTTGACAAGGATCAATTGGCATAGCCACGATTCGTACTTATGGAGCACATCTTACTCTCAGCCTGTGATGTCAGTAGCGTTTAATCTAGGCGAATAATCGCCGGTCCACGGTCCAGTTCCCGTGCCCAATACATTGCATGATCTAGTCTATCAAACCAATCTCCTTCCTAGACGTTATTAATCGATTTTCTGAACTTGAAAATACCAACTATGGGCCGGGCCGGGGCGTGGTGGCCTAGACCTCGCGGCCCGGGTTTTGGCGCCCCGTCATGGGCTCTATACCTCATCAAAGGATTGCAGCGTTACATCCAACCCATTACAGAGGATGGTGTATAGAAATTACTGTAGGATCAACAGATTCAATAAATCCACGGGTAAATTTAGGTATTGGGCCGGGTTATTACAGGGAAGGGCATGATGGGCTCAAACGTGGGCCATGCCGAGAACTCTATTGCCCACCCATCAATTTTTATATTAGCGCGATTTGAAACGCAGGCGAACTTCCCTTGGAGACACATACATCTTCTATTAGGTTATATAATTTGGTAATTACAGTGTCATAGAGTTACTGCCGCAACTATCATTCCGTCGGAGAGTCCGGGAGAGATGCGAGCAAGCCCTATACGTAAGCCCTATACGTAGTTAGCCGTTCCAAATTGGAGCATTTTTCTTTGAATAGGCCACCGAAAGGTGCTAGAATTTCACAATTTTTAGCTTCACGATTACTGAGCCTCGCTTGGTTATAGCTTTCTAGATTCTTCTTCTCAATCCTCGGACTGATTGAAATGTCTGACACAAATCTGGCAGTTGCCAAGTGTTCAGTGAACTACAGTTGAGTGCTTAACAAAACGACATGGATGCTCAAAAGTGAGTCAAGCGGGATCAATCGCACTCATTGTGCGGTAATCATTGGCCAACCCGAACAAACATCATCCTTGGCTTGCGTGAGCCGTCCCGGAAGATCAGGGGACTAGTCGCCACGCTGACAGAAGGCTAACCATATAAGTACCTAGGTAACCTGACCATATAATAAGGTCGATCTCCTCATGTTACATGTGAAGAACTGTGAGCATCGAAAACTCAGCACTGACCAAGATTTGACGCTTCTTGCCTTATGCATGGTATGTTCTTCATGGAAGAGAAACTGGCACTCGAGCGGCGGAGGGAGAAGAATAGGATTGCGCAGCGGAAGCATCGTACAGTACGCACTATACTTTCTCCGAGTCCGTCCAGCTAATGTGGGATAGGTGAAAATGCAAAAAACAGTTCGAAGGGAGCACAACCAAAGTCGGAAAGTAGCGAATGCAGCAGCTCAATATCGTCGCCTCAACAGAGAACCCACCCAGCGCAGAGGGCAAACCGAAGTAGCAGTTCTTCAAGGAGCAGTGAACAGGAATGTCTGCAGTTCCCAGCTGTTTTCGGGTCCGATCTAGAGTACAGTATCGACCAAAAGCCAGCAGAGAATTTGTTTTCCGACATACAATTTTCACCACACACCTCAGAATACAGGCACGTTGACCCGACAACTCCTGAACAGCTCCAACCAGGCCTCTACCCTCTTACCATGGACACGTTATTTTCTACCAACTCCAGCAAAGGTACGTGGTCTATTCCCAACCCTTTTCTCCACATATCCAACCTAACGCTGCGCCATAGCGATAGTCGCCCCAGGCCTATGTGCCAACTGCTACGCCAACGCCAAACCACAGTTCCTGCCACAGCAAGATTTGGGCGCAACGACTACCTCGTCTACGAACACGACCATCCGGCCGCTAAGCCAACATGGGGATCATGACCCGGCCCGCGCTAGTGGAGTAGGGTCCAAAATCTGGACGACTCCCCTCCACATTTCAGTCTCCCACGGTCATCTCTGGGCTGTGTCCCTCCTTCTTGACCACGGTGCCGATCCTAACGCCATTGACGGGGCTGGCTCCACCGTGCTTCATACAGCCGTCCAGTGCGGCCACCACGCCATCGTGCGGGAGCTGCTTCGGTATAATGCGGATCCGAGTTCCGTAGACGTGGCAGGGTGGCTACCGTTGCATTATGCTGCAGAGGCGGGCGATGAAAATTGCATGCGGGCGTTACTGCAGACAGGTGGGGGGTAGGAACCGACCGGAGGCAAACCTTACTTTTGATTGGAGCTAAGCCATTCGAAAGCTTGATGCTGTTTGGTGTCTGTTTTACTTTGCTGCTAGTGTCCATTGTGGAGTAGTCGTATTCGGTCTCGTTATATCTGTTGGGGCTCCTGTTTTGATTGTATTGTCACGATAATACACACTGGTCATGCATTAGCGTTGGAGCTGTGTCTATGTTGCCAGGTCTGCAACCTACGGAAGTTCTGCACAACAGCCCTAAGTTAATAGATTAAAGCTAACAGAAATCTCTATATAGACAGTCGCCCATCACAATATTAGGTTTATTAACAGAAATAAGCTGTAAACCTAAAGCTATTTGCACTTCCCGAATAGGTAATCCTCCGAGCTTGGTGGAGCTGTGGATATGTAGCTCGGCTGTACCGGGCTTAGCGCGACCCCTATACGTATACAGGGCTCCGAGAGTATTGACCGATGGCCAGATCAGATCAATAGCGAGTCCCGAGGCTCATAACCTATTTAACTATGAGGGTAGATGTGGTCATGAATCATAAAATCACAATATGATGATATTGTGGAAACTGTAGAGCTATATAAATGAGAGGAGCAAAGTAGATGACAGCCTACTACTATGGAATGGCCATGTGGACGTATGAAATGTTATAGCGACAACATATTGCTTCAGAATTCTTCGTGTATTGTTATGCACAACCTATTTCTGCAGGGCTCCTTCTTCATCTGCATTGTTGTGCATCGTTATACATAGAGGAAGAGAGGTATGGCTAAGCGGTAGACGCTCGAACGATATCTCACTCATCTCACTCATCCGGGGAACGCGGATTCCCTCTAAGCTTAGGGTTCAAACCGCGCATACCAAAACAAGGGAGCGCAGACTCCCTCTATCCTGGGTCTTTCCTAAAAGACGGGCAGGGAATTTCGATCTCTGCCCGGAATCATGTTTTTTTGCTATTATGTATGTTATACATTCTACGTGCCTTTTGCTTGTAGGAGCTATATGATCAGATACCCTAAGGCTGTGTTGGACACTTCTTGTGCCTGCGAAAGTGGACTTGTCTTCATGTCATTAGGGGCGATATTTTGTATTCATTTGAGGTGTTTCCTACAGTGTGTTGCAAGAATAGTCCATACGCACAATTGCTAATGACCTAGGTAATTTGTTAAAGAAATTAGATAACTAAAGCAGTGAATCTAGGTACCTACACAGCTTTATACCCTGCTATTGAAAAATAGAGGCAGGATCTCCACAAATAGAATGAGCATCGGCGAGGCTTGCCCATGTACATATATCGTTCTATTTTCTAACGGAAAGCAAATTGATTACTTTCGAATGCAAGTCGTCTCCTTTCAAGTTTTCCACTAGCATATTAGAACACCTTACGGTACTGACCGAAAATAATGACGTTAGGCGGAACTGCTGTGGCAATTACCTAATCCTGACCATTTAGCGTCTATTTTTCCATTATCATGCCAGGGTTCCCGGTCCGAAGCTCTCTGCTTTCACAGGCTGAGATGAGGTCTTTTGAGACATTCTTGTCCGACCAATTTACTTTCAACGCGGAAGAATGGCAAAGGAACTACGGTTTGGCTTTTCCTGTCCACAAGCTCTTCGTTGGCTCACTGAAGCAGGCCCAATCATGAGAATCGGTCCTAACGAAGTACACTTCAATGATTCTGAGTTCTGCAACGAGCTGTATGAGACAATAGGTGCTATGCACGAGAAGCCTGCCCAGTGTCACTGCAGTCTTCAAAACTATCGGCCACGAGCACCACGTCCAGAAGAGAGCTTCTGTCGCTGCCTTCTTCTCACGTCAGAAAATCCTCCAGTTCAGCGGCTCTATCCAGGACCGACCTGATATATTGGCCAAGCGGATCTGTAATAACCAGAAGGGCAAGTTACCTGTCCTAATGAGACCGTTAATGCGTTCAGTAAGTGTATTATTGGCTACTATGCCTTCATACAATTCCGTTCAGTATCCGCAGTTCAAGACACCGTACTGCAAAGTTACTGCGAATATTGCCCACATGGTCCATGTCAGAGCGCTTTTCCCCTAGTTTTTCAAAATTCCCAAGCTCTGCTGGAGAAGTACATCGGCGAGTTGTTTCCTCCTATTTCAAAGGTATTCATGCTCAGAAAGGCACGTAGAGACGGGCTTAGGGCGCCGCTGTCATCAGTTGTTAATCGTATTGCTCGACGGCAAATCGATGCAGCCCTGATACATCAAAGAGGGCTACTGTGCTCTACATCCTTGACACCCTAGGTGGAGGCTAAACTTCGCGCCGAGCTCGTCGCCACCATGCCCGACAAGACAAAATTCATATCTGTGCTCGAGCTGGGGGGTCTGCCGTACCTAAATACCGTTATCAAATGGATACCAAAGGTACACTATAGTTGTAGGACAGATTAATTGATCTTCCTAGGAGAAGTATCGTACGATCCTATCCCTGTCTTAACGAAGCTGGAAACAAAGTGGCCCGGGCTGACATGGAGCTATGTGGCGGTGCGTCTGTGGCGGTGCTATTTGTCCACACCGCCACAGCCTCGCGACACAAAAAACTTCCCGCCTCAATTAATCCACACCACATTCCCCGGGGTTATCGATCAACCAACCCCTCTATATTTTTGATTTTTGAGCAGTTGCCTAGTGCAGGTTGCCCATAGATCATATAAAAATGCCTTCCACTTCTCTCGCCGACCTGGTGGCCGCCCTCCCCTCGGAGGACACTTGGGGCCCCTCCACCTCTGCCGATAACATGCTTGCGGGTGTGCCATATGCTCCTTTCTCCAAGGGTGACAAGCTTGGCCGCATGGCCGACTGGACTGCCGAGAGCAAAGAGCGTCAAAACCAGCGTCCCCAGTACAACCGTGGTTTCAGAGGTATGTCCCTTGACCTTTTTTCGTCCCCAGCAACCTTCTCTTTCAATCGAATAGCAATGGCTAACATTCCAAATAGACCAGCAGGTGTACGGAGCCGGTACCTCCAACCTCTTCACTGTCGCAGCCGCCGAGGACGAGTCCTCTTTCTCCGTCGTTGATAACACTCGCGTCCAGAAGCGTGGTTTCGGCCGTGGCGGTGGCACCGTTTTCCGTGGCCGCGGTGGTCAGCGCGGCGCTGCCAACCAGCGCGGTGGACGTGGTGGCTTCCAGCGTGCTGGTCCTGTTGGCCGCGGTCAGCAGAGCGGCTACCAATTCAGCGAGCGGGGCGGCGGCCGTGGTGGCCGTGGTGGCCGTCGTTTCGGCTGGAGAGACTACGACAAGCCCCAGCGCATTCGTGAGGCCTCTGTCAATATTCGTCCTGACTGGAAGATGCTCGAGGAGGTTGACTTCACTCGTCTGTCTAAGCTGAACCTCGATGCTCCCGAGGGCGAGGACCTCGAGACCTACGGTTTCCTCCACTACTACGACAAGTCCTACGACAAGCCCCCCGTCAAGAACGCCGAGCGCAGAATGCAGGCCCTCGACCGTGCGGCCTACAACGTTACCACCTCCCAGGATCCCGTCATCAACGAGCTCTCCGAGAAGAACGCCGCTACCGTCTTCGCCACCTCCGATATCCTGTCCATGTTGATGTGCGCCACCCGCAGTGTCTACTCGTGGGATATCGTCATCGTCCACCAGGGCGACAAGATCTACTTCGACAAGCGTGACGGTGCCTCCTTCGACATGGTCAGCGTCAACGAGAACGCCATCGACGCGCCCCTCGAGGCCGCCGAGGCCGCCGGCAAGCAGGAGCAAATTAACACCCCCAACGCCCTCGCCATGGAGGCCACCATAATCAACCACAACTTCGCCTTGCAGACCCTGATCGAGTCCGAGAAGTCCAAGGTTTCCTTCGCCAAGCCCAACCCCTTCTACGACGAGACCGAGGAGACCGAGCCCCTCGCCTCCAAGGGTTACAAGTACCGCCGCTTCGACATCTCCCTCGAACGCGACGAGGAGCCCGTCTCCATGGTCGTCCGCACAGAGGTCGACGCCGTCATGAAGGGCGGCCCCACCGGCACAGAGGACCAGCAGCTCATCATCAAGGCCCTGAACGAGTTCGACCCCAAGGCCCAGGGCTCCGGCGGTGCCCTCGACTGGCGCAGCAAGCTCAACTCCCAGCGTGGTGCCGTCCTCGCTACAGAGATGAAGAACAACAGTGCCAAGCTGGCCCGCTGGACTACCCAGGCTATCCTGGCCAAGGCTGATGGCATGAAGCTCGGCTTCGTCTCCCGTGTCAACCCCCGCTCTGCGGCTGCCCACGTCGTTCTCGGCGTTGCCGGCTACAAGCCCCGCGAGTTCGCTAGCCAGATGAACCTGAACCTCGGTAACGGTTGGGGTATCGTCCGTACTATTGTTGACCGTATTCGTTCTCTGGATTCCGAGGAGGCCGCTGAGAAGGTGAAGAAGTACGTCCTCATCAAGGACCCTAACAAGTCTGTCCTGCGTCTGTACAGCGTCCCTGCTACTACTTTCGAGGAGGAGGATGAAGAGCTTGAGGAGGAGAAGGAGGGTGAGAATGATGAGGCTGATGAGTAGAGTTTTTTTCTGATGACTTATGTTCCTCCTTAAATGTGCATACGTACTCGACCTAAAATTTGATGCTTTTATACTCTTGGCTATAGAGTCTGACGAATAATCTATTCAATATATTTCATTTTGCCAGACAACAGACTTTCACTCTCTCAAATAACTGTATAATTCTACATTCGAGGGAAATGACCTTACTTTTTGGCATATAGAAGCTCGTTATGCAGGTGATTCTACAGGCTCTAATGATGGTCATGTGGTTCATTATGGGTTTCCTGAGGATGCAATAGCCTCAAAAGCGATTTCCATACCGTCGAGTAACACGAATAATCAATTTCTGTACGACTTTCTCGGTGGAACACAACGTCTTGGGTGCCTTCTCGGTGACTATCTGTTCTTCGTGGTTCGAGGATCTCCGCCAATGCTGTTTACAGCTTCTAATCCTGCTTTCGGATATACGTAGACATGCCCATCTCGAGGGTGTTGTTGTTCTCTGATAGTTGAATATCATATAAACCCAAGTGTGTTAGTATAGTTGTGCATTCACATTATTGGAAGCAGGATCGAAAGATATATAACTGGTCGCTCTGAGCGATTGGAGCAACGAGAAAGAAAGGGAATATATTTCCAGGTACATCAATTCATGTCATCTGCACCTGCGGTTATTTTCACTTGTATACCACCCTCTCAACGGGAGTATCGAAGACGAAGACAAACGAAAGTAAAAAAGATAGTAAGAATCGAAGAATGGTTCACAGGCACAATCAAGACCGAAATGCAGCAAGCAAGGGCGCCGAGTCACTCCGTGGCAGTAGCCAACACAGACAAAAAGACAGGATATTCCAGACATCAGATCATAATCATTTTCATTGCGTTCGACTCACTCAACGATACATCGAGTCATCGGCTCTGCCGGACATGCCGAGATCGACCTTCGTGCCGAGCACGCTGCTCAGACAATCTATCAACTCGAAGTCCTCGACGACAGCACCGAATCCGTAGCAGCGGACCTTCGTGTTGAGCGTGTCGATGATGATCTTGATGTCGTCGCGCCGCAGCGTCGTGTACAGCTCGTGGTTCTTGAGACACTGCAGCGCCATAATGGGCGTGATCTGTCCTTCTGTCACGAGCTGTCGGCTGAGGTTGAGCAGCGTGCTGAGGTTCGCGTGCGGGAGGTCCGGCGCCTTGTGCGGGTATGGTTGTTCGTGTGTCGTTTTCGCAATGTAGCTGGGCGGTGGGCACGTTGCCATCAGGGCGTGTCCGGAAAACGGCATGTCTTCGTCGTCGGCTTCTGTGATCGACCGCCGGCAGAGGTAGTCCGTGTGTTCGCGGCAGGGGCCTTCAAGTCTGAAGGAGGGCATTCGTTAGCTCGGGTATTTGCTATTAGATTAGAATGGGCCTCACGTTAGGATGAAATCAACCTGTAGCTGGGGATCCGACTCAAAGACACCTCCCTTTGCTGGCATTGGCTGCATTGTATCAACGGGTGCGCACGACGAATGATCCATGCTCATGGAATGCTCGCCGGCACCCGTGTGGTACACTTGCTGGTGGGACGGATATCCGATCGGGGGCGACACCGCAGAGTGATCTATGCCATTGGCGCGGGGACTCATACCGGATGAGATAGTCGTTGCGGGGGTTGTGTTGTGGTTGCTGGCCGAATGGGCGAGAGGGGCAGTCTGCGAAGTAGTGCTGCTGCCAGTGACAGTCACAGGGCTAGATTTGAAGGCCATCATCGGTGGGCGCTCCGCCCGGCGGCGCTCTAGATCCGCTTCGTATTGAATTCCGTGCGCTGCGAGGATTTCCTTCAGGATTTCGTTCTCCTCTCGAATTGAATGCATCATCTCTTTGTGTTGTCGAATTGAAGTGTTGGCCTCTGCGATCTCTGTTGTGTAGGCCTCCCGTAACCGCGATACCTCGGTCTCCAGCGCTCTCATGTATTGTTCCTTTCGCTCGCGATGTGTCCTGTGTGGATCAGTCCAGCCCGATGGTTATCGAATCCGCGGGATGTGTACCTCTGGGCCTGACGGTTCAGTTCCTGCCGCCTGGTGAGCGCAGGCTTGCTGTCCGGCTTGGGGCCGCGACGTTTGGGCTGCTGACCATCTGGAAAGGCTTAGTTGTGGTCCGATCGAGCGATTGCAATCGCTCACCTCGTGTGGTCTTCTTCGGCCCGTTAGCACTGGCGGAGCTGCCACTGCCGCCTCCTCCGAAGATCTTGAATATTTCGGCTCCGAAGCCTTTGCTCGATGGGGTCTGTGGTTCTTCTACCGTGTCCTGCGCCGTGCACTCCGGGGCCGTGGGCCGAGCCGGAGAAACATTGGCGCCACAATGTCAGCAACGACCATCGAAATGCGATAAAACAGTGGATATTTGCTTTTGGTTGGGAAAAGCTCAGGGTGGTCGGGGAGGGGTCAGCTCTGGATAGCTTCATCTGTGGCGAGAACCGGGGAAACCCGCAATTCACGGACCCGAAGCTTGACGAGCTTCGCCAGGTTCGCCAGGTTAGGCACTCACGATCGAGTGGCCTGAGTCAATCGGGCTGGCTTTTGCATTCCAGTTTATGTGGCGATTTGGATGTGGAGCTGTGCTGAATACCCCCCGATCGCAAAACACCCCAAGCAGATCGGATGCCAGAAAGGAAAGCCTGAAGAAACTCACCAGAATAACCCCCCATCGCATGGTCCATGGGGTAAACCCCACCACTGACAGCCATCATAAGATTTGGGAAGGGAGAGGTAAGGGAGAAGGTTAAGTCGGGGAAATGAGTTCGAGAAGGTATGGAACTTTGGAGTCTGGAGTCTCCAGAGTATAAAAGAAAAAGAAAGTGGATGTGCCGATTTTTGTACAACTCCCCTTTTTACTTATTTTACTTTTATTTTATCTTATTTTCTCTTTTGTAATGTAATTCCTTTCTTGTTCTCTAATTAACTGATTTTATGCAAATGAAAATAATATGGCGTTCGATCTGTCTTAGGGCTCCACTGCTAATCAAACGGCCGTGAGACCTGGTAATAGACCTAGAACTAGTAGGAAATTGAATCAGAACTGGGTATATCCTGGTATGAATAGATAGAAATAGACAGAAATAGACGAGAATATATTGAAACAGAGGGGAAATACTCGACACTTTGCATACTCGCCGCGTTACTGGAGTCATGAGCACCTCCAGTACATGGATGGTACAACCTCCTACAGCGAGTTCAATACTGAAATGTGAGTACCTCACAGGTACCAGTACTTGCGAACTTTAGTGTGATCAGTCGACCGAGCTGACCAATCATTCGTCCAACAACCCTGGAGACCTCCCAGTCACATCCAATAGTCTTCCCATACTCCATATTGAGATTATCGAGATCGGGAATACCCTCAGCATTGACAAATACTATGATCCCGGGATCCCACTAGTGCGCATCAATTAACGCAATGGGCGGAATAGAGGGGAAAATGATCCAGCTCCCCGAGTCTCAGATTCTAGTGCACATCGCCGCCCCGAGCACCGCACAAGATGACGCACGCTATAGAGCCCAAGTTGCCGCTATCCTGGAATTCCAGTGTGCCTCACGACAGCCACTGATGGAGATAAGCAAGTTCTCAGCTCCCACCGATCCAGATCACGCGCACCCCTTCTCCGCCGGTGCCGCCGTGGATTCCTCGGTGCCCTCGACGACTCAACACGAGGCGTCGCCAATACTGCGGGAGGCGCCCCGGCCCGCATACGCGACCTTATCCTCGGATCGTCGCTTGATCCCTGAGAGGGATGGCGCGACTCCACGCCATCCCATCATCTCAAATCATCCTGACTCCCTCGAGAGTCTCATCAGCGTCATTCCGGACTCCCAACCCGAGATCGCCGAGGAACTAGTCTACGCCGAGCAATCTCGTGCAGAACTATCGCCTCCATCGCAGCTTGCTCCACCTCCTAAAAGACGTCGCACATCCCCAGCCTCCATTAGTCCAGCTCAACCGGTTTTAATTACGGACTCTCCTGCAGCGGACCAGCCCGCTGCATCTCACAGGATGATCCCCGTCGAGAACCAGGAACATCTGCTCCCCACTGGTTCCCCCCAAATTCCCATCTCAATATCCAGCTCAGATCCAGATGAAGGCCCAGACTATTCCATGTCTCAACCTACCACACCCTCACATCACATTCCCATTCCCGCCAGCACAACCCCTAATCCCATCGATCTCTCCACCCTCCCTCTCGAAATCCACCCCCCAAAACCCCCAATCTCCACTGTCCCTTTCACTACCCACATAACCCCAACCCTATCAATGCTCGCAGAACGTCTAAACCCAGCACGAACCTACAAACCATCCACTCAAACGCGTCCCCTCGACCCCCTAGAACGGGGCTACTGGCTCGTGCACCTCGCTATCGAGAACAAAAACCAAGGCCGAGATCCAGCCGATCTTCTCCCATACCAAAACCCAAAACGCAAGCATGGAACCACTAATCCCACTCAAAAGCCAACCGAAAACCCAAATTCAAAGTCAAAAGAGAACACACAGACCTGGCCCTACCCGCTCTTCCACGTCTTCTGGTCCTTCCTCTCGGACTTCGTAGGCAGGGACGGCCGTGCGGGCTGGGGCGTCTGGTGTATTCTTGAGGCTGCGACGGCCCCTTCAACGCGCTCTGACACGCACGTCTCTCTTAAAGTTTATGCGTGGGGTGAGGTCGCTATGCATGTCTACCTTCTGCTCTACTTGGCGAGTGAACGGCGGGTCCGTGGGATAGGCGTTCAGTGGCGGGATGCGCGGGAGGAGGTTGTTATTCAGATGCCGTAAGATAGGGTTCGGTGAGGGGCGCGTTGAATATTTGGTTGGAAATTGTAAACTTATCACATTATACCCCATATGCATTGCTTGCAATATCATTGGATAATTTTGATCTTCAATTGCTTGTTTTGATAAAAGAAGGGTTATTGTACATGCTGGAAAAGACGAGAAGGAAATTCCGTTAGGGATGAATAAACAACAAGGAGATAAAGATAAAAGCCATGTTTCGGGAGTAGAGATCAATGGAAATGATTGAATTCAATAAATGAGCAAGCTGCAGGCAGCGATCCTCCGACAGTCCCTCCGATGCGCCAGGTCGCCAATTGGAGGAAAGAAGATTAAGAGGAAAAAGAACTGAAAGTGTGATCAAATCAGCGGATGCAACTAGTACTGCAGTTCGCCACTGCCAGACGCATCGACTGCATCTAGATCCTCGTAGCTCTTCAAACTGCGGCCCTGGACGGCTTCGCGCGGCGCCATGGGACCTCCGCTGGAAGAGTCTGGGAATGGGTTGGCGGCGGCCATGGTGGCCGCGGGGTGGCCAGCTGGAACGCTGACACCAGGAGGTGGGAGACGACCGCCACCATAGATACCTGGCATTCCGCGGGGAGGGCTCAGTCGCCCGTTGCCGTTGAATCGGCGACGGTCGTACGGGCCAGGTCGGTTGTTGCGGTTCTGGCCGCGGCGCATGGGTCCGGGCTGGTGCAGACCGCCTTCGTGTCCCATTGCGTTTCCAGTCCAGCCGTGTGAACCCATCATGCCAGGCATTCCACTTGTGGAGAAGGCAGGCACGTTTCCATTGGGGCCGAAGGGCATGCTGGCAAGGGTGAATCCACGAGGAGTGCCGGTGGCGCCTTGTCCGGAGCCAAGGGGGAAGTGACCGTTGCTGTTGGCATCGGAACGGGATGGGGCAATGCGTGCTGGGTCCAAGACATAAGCATTCACTAATGCGAGCTACGATAACTGTTAATACTGGGAATCATTGTTGGATGGTTGCACACTTACATCCTTCTTGATACCATCAAACCACTCCGTATGGCGCTTCTCGACATGCTTGCGCCAGAAGGCTTCGGCCTTGAAAAGCTTGGTACATTCAGGCACCTTGCACCGGTACTTAGAGTCATCTTCCTGCTTCATGTACTTCAGAAGTTCATCCTCAAGTGCCTGATCAACGGGCTTGCCGCCGAGCTTGCTGAGGTCGACGTTCTCTGGCTCTAGTATCTGCAGCAACTTATCTTCAAAGGTCTTCACCCAGTTGAAGGCACGCTGCAGTTGCTGTTCGGACTTGGAACCATGGCGCTGTCCGCGCTTCTCCTGGACAGGCGAGGACAGATCTTCTCCTTCCTCGGTAGGTTCCTTCTTCTTTGCCGGGAAAGGCTGGCCGAGAGCGCTGGCTCGGGCCACTTCCTTAGCCTGGCTGGATAGTCCAGTACGTGGGCGGCGAAGGTGTCCACCAGGGCACTTGCGGCCAAGCTCATGGACCGAGTCACTTTCGAAGACACAGAAGAAGCAGAAGTTGTAGACCCGGCGCAGGTACTCGACAGCCAAGTCTAGCTTCTTCTTCTTAACTGCAAGTTCTTCATCATCCACATCTTCTTCTTCGGCAATTTCCTTCTCTTCGCCTTCCTCAATCTCCCCTTCGTCCCCTTCATCGCTATATCCGTTTCTCTGCTTCTTCACACTGACTGGTCCCGTAGCAGGGGGCTGGAGCTCTCCTTTGCCGCGCAGGTCGTCAACATACTCTTCGATCTTAGTGAAACCATCCACGCTGGCACTCATCTCGGAGTCCAACTTGGAAGTTAGACGTTTGGCCAGCTCGAGATCACGATCAATTCGCTCAGGCGCGGAGAACAGATCCCAGAGAGCCTTTTTGCGCGGCTGGGCAGGGGGAACATGGACTCCGACGTGGCAAACAAAGTCACCGTGGACGGAATCATGGATGGTCTTGTCATTGACAGCCTCGAGAGCTCTCTCAGCTGGGCTGACTGTGACCCCACCGTTGGCACCTCCATCATGGTCCATATTTTCGAATTCTTCATCGCGTCCATCTCCCCGCTCCACCGTGCTGGTGTTTGCGGAAGGATGCAACATAATCCATCCCATGCGATGGAACTTCTTGGAGGGGTTCGGATCACTGAGGCTGAGCCCCTTGAAACCTCCGTCTTCCTCGCCGAGATGCTCCTTGCAAAACTCTTCTATCTTGCTACGGCTGACATTTGGCGCAAGGGTTTTTATAAGAAGCGCGGGTTGTGCAAGAGCTTCGTCACGGAGGTCTCCACCACGGACTGGAAGTAGGTCAAGCACTCCCATGGTCTCAGCGGCAGCCGTAGTCTCGCCTTCCTCCTTTTCAACCACACCACCGGCACCGTCGCTATCGCTCTTGTATATGCCTTCAAGTGTAAAGTCTTTGAAAAGGTTGTTTTCAATGTCATGCTCCCACTGTTCATATGCGCCTTGTCGAACCGTCATGAGGCGGGCGCGAAGAGGGTCTCTAACTTCAGGAACATAGCGTTCCTTGAACCACTCCTCATTCCGGTGCTGCTGGACGAAAAGCCTGGCCAGTCGAATTTGCAGATCAACCTTGTATGTATCATAAGCCGCCTGGATTTGCGCGCGTTCCTTCTCGCGATCTTCGCGCGCCTCGCGCTCTCCCTTGACTCGACGACCGCCGTTCTTGGCGCGCTCTTTTTCCTCATTCACGGATTCCTCCAATCTCCACCACTCGGCAAACCAATTGAATCCGACTTGGAAATCGAGTGTGAGGGGGTTGGGCATAGGGTTGGTCGGGATAGGACGCTTGCCACCGCCACCGCCGTCTTGTCCGGGAACATAGCGGTCAATGTTTGCCACAGTTGGTGAGGGAGCACGTCGACGGTCCTCGCGTTCTCGGGCAGCGTGCTCCCGAGCATTGTTGTAAAAGTCGTCGCGGTGAGAACGACGCTCCGAAGGCTCATACCGGTCAATCACGGGCGACCGGGAGCGCGGCCGTGCACGTCGTCGATCTTGAGAGGCTGGTCCAGAGTCAATTTCGCCCACATCTCTCCCTAATAATATTCAATGATAGACTTACCAGGCGACCGACGTCTATATGATTCCCCCATGGATCGTCCCGCGAAAGAATCGGACTCACGACTCCTTCCAGGAGATCCATAACCATCGTAGGAATCCATTGTCCTAGGCCTTCCGGGATAGGTATATTTTATCACCTTCGTTGCGATCAAGGTATCGATAGACCCAAGGACTCAGCCCAGGTGGGTAAAGTTCAAATGGAACAATCTGCGTTGGTCGATGAGGGAGTCGGGAACCGCAGGATAAGCTAAGATTTGGTATCGTCAACATTAGACCAACTTCATAGAGCGAAATAGCGATGGTGCCGGCTGGGAAGTTCACGAGGAATAACAGAGGCAGGGATTCAGGGAAAAGAGAGACAAGAACACACTGCTGCTGGCGACGTGTCGGCCCTGGAACTTGGCAGGGGCTTGAAACATGTTTGCAGCAGGTGATTTCGGATAGCAAAGAGAGATTATGAAGAAGGCTGCTGGCCGGAGCCAATGCTGTTATCATTCAAGGAGTCACAGCCCACAAGAACTAGCAATGCGCAGCTGACGCCACGGCTTAGAAAGGAAGAAAAGAAGATGAAGCAGGGGAATGGAAAAGCAGGGTCAGAGGAGCGGAGGCTCATAGAAAGAGAAAGGGCAAGGGACAAAGCCAAAGAATAAACAGAAACCGAATTGGAGAAAGAAGAGGGCCACCTACAAGAAGCCTCGAGCGAAACGCGACAGTTGATGATAAAGGAAGAAGCCGAGGAGGCGGACGAAGCTGGAGAGAGCTGGGCGCTTAGCCGAAAAGGGTATGGCGTCACGGGGATCACTGGCATCCGGTGATTGGCGGGTTCTCAGGAACAAGTCCAGATGACAATTGTCTGCCCTAACTTGCCGACAAGTTGAGTCTGGAATTTTTAAGCCCGGAATAAAATGAGAAGGAGAAGGGGAAGAGGAGGGTTAAAGTTGAAAAAACGTGGGCCCGGATTAGCCACTCCAATATCTCCCCATATACTCCGTAAATGAGTATAACTTCCTGGAACGGTTAGGAGGCCCGGATACTTCAATCTTGTTCGATAATTTACTTCATGGCAGTCTGCTTCGGTGCTGTGCTACTTCTTTTCACTCCACGGCCTATCAACTGTTTCAGCTTTTCTTCGCCCCCTCATCATCTATGTTAGCTGCCAGCTCAGCTCTTCGCTTGGCTACATACATAGCTAGCGCTGGCAAACGAAGTTATACATCCATGTATGAATCCCTGTACGAAGTAATTAGAATATGATGCTTTTGGGGGGGCTTGTTCTTTGGGGATATGTGTATCCATATTGTATATGGAGTAAGGCATACTCCGTATTTAAACAATCTAATTGCAATATCAACATAACAAAAAGACCACTTCTATATGAGTCTCAGCAATCCCTAGTCTTCTTATTAGATGGCTAAAAAGCCATATTATTACAACGAGGTTAAGTGTCGAAAAAAGGAGGCCTAGATTACATTCGATCTTGAGAGAATATTCTCAGTTAATAAATAGGGACGGCCTATTTGCCTGGTCATTATCAAACAAAGAAGATTTCACTGGGTTCGACCTCCCCTCATGGTAAACAGAAAACACAGTCACATAGGGAGTTTAGGTCTGGGACTCAATCACATGCTGAACTGCACCAGTCTGCTCAAGACTCAACAAGAACGGGAAAAGGCGATAACAGGAGACACGGTACAGTAATATATACTATTTATAGGTATACATCCCCCGAATCTTGCCCAATGACATGTAAAAAGGTAAGAACGACGGAAAAATACCCGTTATGACAGCTCAACTCAGTTCTTTCACGAGCACATTATTTGATAGGACCATGCTGACCGCTGATTGGTTGACCAGAACCACCACGCCCGCTCAGTCACATCAGCATAACACGCCACATTTTACCTCCGATCGAACGACCATGTCGGGTCTATTCAACTCTCGCTGGGCACCCGTGAATGGGGGAAACCAACGATACCAGAGTCAGAATGCTCCCCGGTACTGGCCCTCCAACAACTCCAGTCCCGGTGGTAACAGCAGCAACCGCCCGGCGACTATCACATCCCAAGATGGCCGTTTGCTGCCGCCAGCCGAGGAATTATCACGATTTATGAAAATTGTGGCCAGGTTGCGATGGAAACTCCCATTTTTAGCTGAAGGATACCGCCTTGCAACTCTGGAAGTCAGCGATGTCGTATCAGCAGACGATCTCGCCCACGCTGAAATAATGTTCAAGATCGATTTCCACGAATATTATGCTCTTCTTGAACGTGCCATTGTCCACTTACTGGCGGTATTCAATATCTCGGTCACATCCTCACCTCGGGGACCACCAGATAATGGAAACGGTATCGGTCGGCCTGTTGGTATTCATCGATACCATGCCAATGTGCTAGAGGCCTTGCGGGAGCAATCAACCCCACTATCCCCGGTTCTTGGCGGTGGCCATGTTTATTTGCAATTGCAAAAGGCCAAGGAACTGCGGAATAGGTGGAAAACTGCCGACCTCACCACTGAAGAGAGAGAAAAGCAAGGTGAAAAAAAAGACGTTATGACGCTTGCGAGCTTTGACTTTGAGGGCATCATCTCTGATATCTTTGGTGGCCTAGAAGAATCATATGTTAGGGCCAAGGAGCATGTCGACAAGTGCATCCGCCCGGACGAGATAACTGGTGAAGGGGCAAACTCCGAGGCGGACTGGGGGTTTATGGTCGATGCCATGGATTGGGAAGCTGTATGAGAATTGGCCAACTGCAGAATTCATGGCCAGGATTCATCAGCGTTCATTCAGCTGTGTTATGGATGTCCATGGCAGCCGGTGTCAAAGTCTGATATGTGCATGGTCCGATAACTAGGTGCAAGATTTCCTGGCTATGCAGATCTCTATTGACCCTGCACAACCGGGTCGATCACGACCTTATATCGCCCAGATCTCGTTGTCGATGTATCTTGGACTTGGCGTTCTCTCTCGGTACTGTGGTCGATTGGAAGGTTTCCGGTTTCCATGAAACCTAGACCATTGATATCGAAGGGCGAGATATTCAAGCAACACAAGCAGCTTCCTCAGTTGACCCCGGAGTACCAATAGGAAGTAATCCGCTTCCTACTTGTACATTTTCTTCGTTTCATTCTACAGAAGAGCACATCGAGCTTTTCCAGGTGGAAGTAATATTCGCGCCTCTGGTTTTCACTCTCCTATACTTCGCTTGCGATTGCCTTTTTCCATATGTTTCTCTCTTGGTCCTATGCACCCTTTTTGTCTCACCCTCTACCATTCAACTTCCCTGTCGTGGCGAAGTCTGTAGTTTGGCGGCCCAGAACAGCGCGTCATTATACCACTTTGCCTAAAAACGACCCGGGTACACTCACAGTCCTCCCTAGTCTCACACTCCCCTACCCTCTATCTTGCAACACGATTCCAAGGGCATTCAGAGTCTTAGTAGCCTATACGGCGTTTATGATGGACTTCACGGTTAGATATTTGAATAGAAATATAATTCCATAGCCATAATACTACTAGGATCTTCTTTCTTTTATCAGACTCTACTACATTCTCTAACTCAGTTTGAAGCATCCACTAGCGAGATAGCAACAACAAACTTGATCGAGTCGCCTGGCCGTCGCTAGAGCTGTAGCTCCTACTATATAGACATTGCCAGTTTAAAAACTCACCTAAAACAGATTGTAAATGTTTAAATGTATGTAGGGGGCAACGCGTTCAAATGGCGTCGCGAATGTCGAAGCCAAGCGGTCAAACAACCCCCAACCGAAATCAACGCAGTTGAATCTTCTCAACTGGTCAAGTGATCTAAACCACAGGAGGACATCCCGGTTATTCGAAACATGCACCCATCAAAATGGACCCTCACCGGCCACCTCTACCCTGGTCTTTTTGCAGGCCAATCAACGCAGACTGCTTGTCTCGGGAAAACCAACTACTCACCCATCCGACAAGAGCCCCTATCACACCTTTGGAGAATTCCAAGTATGCCCTGGTGTACCGAGCAGAAGTTTTGGTGGTGCTTCCACACCAGCGATTGCTGAAAGCTACAGACCTGCCGGAGATGTTCGTTCTCCCCTCCAGCCATGTGTTCGAGTCTTGGAGCAAGCGACGCTCCTTCTCTATCCCTACTTCACAAGGATCCCATTGTCTCCTGGTAACACCACCGAGCGTTCCTGGAAGCTAATCGCATGCCCCTGGGAACCGAATGCATGCTCCCAAGGAAGCCAATATCCACTCCCAGAAGCTTCCAGATCGACATGAGCCTATAAAAAGAGATTGTATAAGCGATTCATCTGTGATGAGTCATGATTGCTTGATTTGTACGGTGGGAGCCGAAATTCGAACCGAGCTCTGGCGGCATTGCTCAAATTGAATTTCTCAGGAGGCCAGAGGACCAGCTGAGATGGAGGAGAGGGTAGAGGTAGAGGAAAGGGAATTACGCGTCCGCTTGTTCGGTTGCTGTGTGATGTGCGACAGTACGACCGTTGATCATAAAGGATTGCTGCATAGTTTGACTCTTGAGTCTTGACGAGTCTCCGAAAACGGGGTACATGATGTCGCCTGCAGCTGAGGTGGTGACAACTCATGAACCTAACCAAGTGGAACTCTGTTGGAGACTGGCCAAGCTGAAGTCAGATTGGCCCGCGGCTGAGGCGGGGCGGGTCTTTCCCCACAGACGTAAACAAGCAGTTCGCTCGGGTGTTCTGATTCTGATTCTCATGTGAGCCATCAAACCTTGGCTCCTCTTGCTACCACCTTTTGAATACAGAAATACCTCGCTTTCCAACCCATATCCAAGACACATCCCATTCCACCCATCAACTCGTAAGTCCCTTCCAAGACTTGCACTCTACCGCTCGGCATTGACGATAGTATGACAGCGACGACGAGTTCAAGAAGATCATCAACAGCGGCCATCCCGTTGTGATTGATTTCTAGGCCCAATAGTGCGGACCTTGCAGAGCGTTCGCACCTCAGGTTGACAAATGGAGAAAATATCCGGACCAAACCCCGGTCAAGTTCTACAAGGTTGACATCGATGAACAACAAGAAATTGCCAAGGAATATCACGTAAAATCGATACCAAGTTTTGTCTCCTTCAAAAATGGTCAAAGCATGGAGAGGTTGTTGGGGCGGACACATACAGATTCGACAATCTTGTAAAGCTGCGGCTGCTCTTTAAATTACAAGACTGATGGCATCGGCTCTGTCGTCGGTTTGTACAGGAAGTGGGCATATTGATTGTATTTAAACTCAAAGTATCTGATACAGTGACTACGCAAAAGTTTTTGGAACACCAGCCCCACACCCCTTAATTACATAATATTCTGCCGGTCGCTAAACCCCCGCCAAAACTCCATGATATTGATAATCCGTCATATAACTAGCTAATACACCACTAATAGGGGGTGTACCACCCCTCAGATTTGATAATTGCTTGCACTTTGTTAGGCATAGTCTCAGAGAGGTGTTCTAGATGCCTCGTATCGATATTATACGCGTTTTTGGTAGGCGGTAAAAACTACTATAGGCGGTCAGTGAAGTGGGGCCCTGGGTGTTCCAAAAACTTTTGCGTAGTCACTGTACTTCACTGAACTTATTACGCCAGGATTCATTACAAGTTGTAGATACGGTAATCCTCGAGGTTTTACTGTACCGCCTCGACTGGGAAAAACACAAATAAACTAGAATTCATGGCTGCGTCAGACTACAGATCGCACTAGTGTCTCTCACGCGCATTCAATAAATGAGATTTGAGCATCCAGTTGATCTCAGAGGTAAGCAGATATGATTATGTAGTACACCATTCGAGGCATAGACAGCCACACCTTTCTCAGAGCGATAATAAGCCAAACCGTTTTACTCTAGAGTTACATACACTTGATCCTATAATAAAAAAGCCTCATGCACCATCGCTTATTCCCAAAGTCCCCGAAATACTTCCCCACGAAGCTGGATATAGGCGATCTTGCACATTAAGCAGTGGGGCAAGTAGAGGCGGTTCAGCTACGACAACTTGGCTGAGGCAACACCTGCTCCACAGTTTGTATTAAAGTAGGTCTCTTATTTATTTGCAATGTGAGGTGAGCGACGTCATATGTTTTTTCTTTTTCTTCTTTTCTCAATTTCACCAGTCCTCCTCTCGTGGCCTTATATTTGTTGCAAAAATTGCCGCAGGTTCACCACTATCTTGATACCCTACCATGTTCTCGCCTCTGATTGCTGGGATTGTTGTATTGCTTCTATTCTTTGTTTGGAACAGACTCATTTACCACCGAACGAAGCAATACGCTGGTTTCCCTCAGACTCCGCCATCACGAATATGGGGCCATTTGTCCACACTCATTCAACTTATGAAGACAAGCAAATCGAATAGCCACTTTGGTTGGTTGGGATCTCTCTTTGATTTTAAACGGGGAATCTGACTTTTATTAGACGAAGCGTTCAAGAAAGTCTATGATCGCCTCGGCAGTCCCCCCGCGTTTCTTCTGGATTTGCGACCATTCAGCTCTCCTATATGTGTTGTCTGCAGGCACGAAGTCGCAGAGCAGATAACTACAAGCTCGAAGCTTTTCCAATACAGTCTCCCTAAGTCGCGCCTAACGGGGTTGGTCAGTGAAATCACGGGCCTAACATCGATCATCCTTGCCGAGGTAAGATCATGACAGCCAGTACATGCAAAATTTATTGACTTGAGTATAGGACAATAATTGGAAAGCCTTGCGCAAGCAGCTCAACCCAGGGTTCTCTCATAGCTATACTGTTAGTCTGGTGCCCTGTATTCTGGATAAGACGAAATTGTTTCTAGCGAATCTCGATCATTATGCCAGCACTGGTGAAGACTTCTCGCTAGATCATCTCTGTACAAATTTGACATTTGACATCATGGGTGAACAGCGTCTACATTCATCTAGAAATTTGTATTCTGACTTTTGACAGGCGCTGTCACTATGGATACCGATATGGACGCACAACTCGGAGAAAAGAACCAAACCCCAATTGTTAGGCTCTTCCGCGAACTTACCTCTGCCTTCAATTATCGCAATGGAATATCGGTGCTATTGCCTTCGTACAAGAGATGTCGTCTTGTTCGTCACCTCGATAAGCACATCAAACAGAATATCAAAGCAAAGTTCGAAGAGCAAAAAGCAAATCCTCAAAACCGGTCTCGCAGTGTCTTATCCCTAAGTCTGGCCGAACAGAATGACTTAACTTCCGAGATTTTGGACCAGACTTGTGATCAGCTAAAAACCTTCTTATTGGCTGGTCATGATACAACGAGTATCTTGTTACAATGGACATTCTATGAACTGAGTCGGAATATACGCATATTAGGACTTGTTCGCCTCGAACTCGACGAGCTTTTTGGCCCTGAGTCGTCTCCGATCGCCGTCCGAGATAAGATCCTTGAAAACACATATGACTTTCTTCAAAATATGTCGTACACCTCTGCTGTTATAAAGGAAACCCTTCGTCTACACCCACCAGCTGCCACTGCACGGCATTCACCACCAAACACAGGGTTTAACGTCCGATTGCCGAGTGGCCAAACCTTATGTCTAGACGGATTGGTCCTTTATAACTGCCAGAGCATCATACATCAGGATAGCGAAGTGTATGGGGATAACGCCACTGAGTTTATTCCTGAACGCTGGCTCGAAGCCTCGGAAATCCCTATACCGCCGAGCGCTTGGCGACCTTTTGAACGTGGACCGCGGAGGTGTATTGGGCAAGAATTTACAAATATTGAGGCACTTGTGGTTATTGCAAGTGTAATACGGCGATATAGTTGGGAAAAAGTCGGACTTGGGGCAACTAAATGCGATGATTCAGGCGAGCGTATCGTGAAGGCAAACGGGCAATACGAACTCCAGTCAGAGTTGTACAATGTGAGCATTCAACAAAGCCTGGAATTGATTTGCCTTAGTTAACAGGATACAGACGATGGAGTTAACCGCAAAACCCGTGGACGGAATGAGAATGCGTGTGAGAATGGCGGAAACTTGGGCTTGAGATATGATCCCTGCACACTGACCAGTACCAAATGTACGTACCTCTTGGGCAATCATAGATTTTATAATAATGTACTGACTGCTACTGTAACCGAACTTATGAACAATGCCAAATCGCAATAATGTATCTCAATTAGGAAACATAGACGCATACTAGCTAGAAACATATCATATAATAACCACGCCGGATGCCTAAGAACTCGAGGTAGTCCACTTCGTTTGGTAGCTACATCTTTAAATTATGCCTCGTCCTGTACTGTACAATCATTCTCCGTGGAACAAAAATGGGTCATGTGAAAAATCCTCACTGGAAGGCCACCGCAATCTTAGGACTCGAAGAAGAGGTGAAAGACATTGCCTAGTAGGGCAATGATCGGTAAGATCATCTGGGCGCGCCTGTGGAGATAGACGCTGTACAATACAACGTACAATGTAGAAATAGAAGAGCAGTGACCAGGCTGCCCGAAAAAAATGTCGTAGCTGAAATTGCCAATCCACTATTAGATCTAGGCGATACGTAACCACAGCGATGCTTGCAATTTATTAGATAATGGCTAATTCCTATCGATACCTCTCCTTATTTTCTTACATCCGATCAATGTACATATCGTATAGCCGTCGTTTGGGAAAAGTGCCGTACTGAAAATCGCAATTTGCATTGAGCGGGAAATTTACACTGGGGCCCCGACGGCTTACATTGTACAGCGGTCTACATATATGGGCGGGACTGCCTGTGGCCACTAGAACAAGATGTGTACCCACTTGGCTGAATCTCGCAAAGCTGGCTGTGGGGCCGCAAAATAGATCTCATTCAGGGAAACCCCAGCCAGCCGTGTCTCAGCCATTCTATAAGGTTGGATTCACGGCCCCCGCCAATCCAGATCGCCGGTACCGTCGATCTCGTACATGAAAGTCTGTCGGACTTCAGCCACGCCATGCCGTCACTGATTCTGTCCGAACATGTGCTTACTTTATTCACACCGTGGTGATACATGTGACATCGCTTGTGTCTGAGACCTCTCTTCATGCGAGGACGACTATCACTACCTTATGCTGTTTCTGAGGACGACTTTCCCAGAAGGGGGTAGCTGCAGGGTCTGTATAGAAGCGAATCGGGCTGAGTTTCTTGAGCCCTGCCACGTCACAAAACAGGCAAACATCAGGACACAGAGGGATCATGCAAAAGCCACGTACATGTAATAAATCTTTTCGGAGACCAGAGAACCAGAGAGGCCTAGCCCGTACTGGATATTTTTGTTTGGTAAAGTGGATGACGTCCCAAAAACCTGTTGGCTTGTAAAATTATATTTCCGCACAATATTCATACACTGGCCATGAGAGTTAAGCGTTATCACTAAAACTACAGTTCCTTAGGCAAATGAGAAGTGGATTTTATCTACGACTCGGGGCATTACATATAGCATTAATGTTAGCTTCATCTTGTACTTCACAGGAAACATCTTCGCTTTTTATGAATTACCCTTCGCCATTGCTCGTGAGTTGTCTCGACTTTTGAATGATCGAGCAGATCGCTTCTTTGGCGAAAAAAAGCGGAGGGGATCTTGATAAGTTCCAGCCAACTGGTCCCATAGAGGCAAAAATTGACCAAAGTTGAACTTGACATTTCTGTGGTGGACAGTATGGAAGGTGTCTTGGCTGTCGTCTTTTTTTTTGTCAAAAATATGAGTATGGCCTGTCCATCAGTCCAGGGTGAGGGTACATACGCAATAGAAAGGACCATATATTGGTTATAAGGAATATCACGAGGTATGAAAATTTGGACATTGGCAAAATAAAGCCATATGCATGGATCGGGAGACTCATTATGTACGCCTCGATGGGATTGAATGCGTAAGCCGAAAATGGGGTAGGGATAATGAAGCGATGGTGACCTTTGTGCATTGTATTAAAAAGCAAAGGAAGATGGAAAAGCCGATGGAGCCAATACATCATGGTGTCAGAAAAAGCCACAAAGAATAAGAACTGCGCGGCTTCATACCAATACCCAGGGCCCTCCTCCGGAGAACCGTAGAGCTTCGAGTATCCTCGAATTTGGACCACGAATATCGGAACTGTCAGGACATTCAAAACGAAGAGTGTGAGCATAGACTCTCTGATCTCTTGTCGAACCTGCTTCTTGAGAAACTTCGGATGGGACTTCAACGTTGGTTGGAAATTGCAATGATAGCAAACACTGCCAAGGATGAAAAAAAGCAGTGTGCTCGATATCCTAAGTGAACGTCAGCTGACAACTCCGTACGCCAGATACTTGAGTCCCCCTGAGAGCCGCACATTGTAAAGATAAAGAGACTAAGATACTGCCTGGCGATACTTTGGCGATCCCATATGTTTTCAGACTGGATGGCAACACAAATTTCATGTCTCAACTCTGCTGCATATGAATCTTGCCTCCTCGATGTCCCCCATAGTCCGATTGGGCTTTGAGCAACACAGGCTAGATCTGTAGCTATGTGTCTTATTGAACTATATATCGGGTCAAGATGGGTTTGATCGAGATAATTAAGAAGGACGTCCATATTGATAGCAGTTGGAAACGAGTGATAGGTGTTGATAGCTCCTGGGCTGAATGGTCCATACAATGAGCATTTGAGTGTTGAAAATTGTACCTTTTGTAAGGTTGTCACAACAGGCGATAAATATCAAATGCCTCCAAATTTGTGGTCGGGTGGTAAAAGCACCAATCCTGAATACTTACTAACTTTACGTAACGAGATGGTGGGCCTGGGCAGTTCCACTGCACGATATTCCAATATCTATGTCGTATTTACTCCATTTACTGCGGATGCTCGATGGGGAAACTTATTGGTACAGGTGAGTGTTTTACTCCCATACACGGTGATACTGCATGTAGCAGCACGAATAGGGAAAAATGACGCAATCTGCCTAATATCCATGGATGATCTGTCTTGAAAATTTTGAGGCCCACATCAATATCAGCACACGGGCCGACAAAGTGTACGTACATACAACATTGCATATCAGTAGTATCCACACGTCGTCTCACCGCTGGATTTGCATATCAAAGTACAAAAAAAGAAAAGAAAAAGAACTCTCTGCAAAAGTACTATGGAATCTATTATTCAGAGGTTCCCCTCCCCTCGCGACGAACTGTTCTCCACATCCTGTATATAAATACATGTGTTTCCAATTCAGTGTCTCCGGTTAGACACACACACAACCGCAAATATGGTGTCAAAAACCACCACGCAATGGTCTCCGAAAGATGTGTTGATTGAAGTATCGTCGTTTATTCTGATCCTCACTAGTCCCGTCTTTGCGCTCTTCTACTGGATCTGCTATCAATTTTTCAATACCTCTCTCTCATCGACGCTGCTTACTGCCTATTCTGAAGGCACCTTTCGATTCTTGGGGAACCGAATGCCATCTTTTGACATAGCATCCACGGTGGCATATGCGGTATGGACATTTTTCCAAGCGATGCTGTATAAGTTTCTTCCAGGACCGCTGTTATTAGGTCAACCGACACCTTCGGGCAAACGTCTTCCTTATAGGATCAATGGACTTGCTGCATGGGGCTTAACACTGCTATCAATGTTTTTGATGCACGTTACTGGATTGGTGCATTTAACTTTTATTGCGGAACACTGGGAAGGACTTGTTTGGACTGTGAATATATACAGTCTGGCCTTGCTTTTTATCTTCCACTTGAAGGGTTATTACTGGCCAGATAGCCCAGAGGATAACATATCTACAGGTAAGTTAACCAAATAGAATCGAAAGGCATATGACCGTGGAGACCGGCGCTAAAAGTAATTAGGGCACTTCTGGACCGATCTGCTCAACGGCTTTGAATTCCACCCCCGTTTCGGAAAGCTTTGGGACATAAAACACTTCCACAGCACTAGAGCTGGCGGTGTCATCATCTGGAACGTGGTGTAAGTCTATCCATCATATTCTTAGCAGTCTCTGGGCTGTCATTCTCATTTCAGATCACTAACGGCGAGAAGGGATATTTCTTTTGCTGCTGCTCAGTACAACAGTCTTGGCTACTTGACAAACTCCATGGTCCTGGCTGTCCTATTGCGACTAATGGTTGTGCTAGATTTCTTTGCCAATGAAAAGTGGTACGTTTTACTGTTCCTAAAATTGGCTCTTGAAACAGGTTACTGAACTTTCTAGGTTTATTGGTACATTGGACATTGCATATGAGCATTTCGGGTTTTACTACATTTACGGATACTCGATATTCATGCCTATGATATACACCCTTCAAGCACAATACCTCTACCGCCATCCGAAGTCACTTTCGACCCAAAGCGTTATTTCCATTGTGCTTGTTTGGACGATTGGCTGGCTTCTGTCTTTGTGGGCCAATTATCACAAAGATCTAGCCCGCGAGTCCCAAGGCCAGTGTACGATTTGGGGCGCAAAGGCGAAGTACATTGAATGCTCCTATACACTTGCCTGTGGAAAGGTGCAAAGTTCAAAACTGTTGTGCTCCGGTATGTATCCTAGCTAACCTGCTAGATCACTCCCCCTTTCCCTTCACCCATTTAAAATGTCGGCCGACTAATGATAACTAGGATGGTGGGGTGTTGTCCGACATGCCAACTATCTTGGAAACGTGATCTTTACTTTCGCTTTGTGCGCTACATGTGGCTTCGACTCAATTTATCCCTGGACAGAAGCAATCTTTGTCATAGGCGTCATGGTGCACCGTTGTCTAAGAGACGAGAAAAAGTGTCAGACAAAATATGGAACACAATGGGAGGTGTATTGCAAGAAGGTTCCATGGAGGCTTATTCCCGGGATATTTTGATAGCAGAGTCATTTGACGGTTTGATCTGCAGTCTGAAGAGAGCGTCACCTGAAATTTCTCGAAGGAACCTTGGACAGGTTCTTGGGAAGACCACTAGCACTTTCTGTTGGTCTAGTGTGGTGAATGAATGTCCAGAATAAGTCTTAGAAAATTGACTCGATCGAGGTCGTGCGCGAAAGAGTCTTGCTCGCCTAATAGAGCCCCAAAAGCCATGAAGACTGTTATGCCGGTCTTACCCCTAGCACCAGAAATCTCCGTCCTCGTTGCTCTGATGGAAAGATCAAGGTCGACCAAGAATGAAGGCGGGGAGGGGTTTTCCCTCTTCCTCCACAGAGCCATCTCTGTGGAGGAAACTAGCCTTAAGCGAAGACTCGTGTCCTTCCATGCAGCCCTCAAAAGCAGAAAGTAGAGCCAGGCATGACCTTGTTTTGTAGTTCAGCTTTCCAAAGTCACGGGGGATGATTCTCCGGAATAGTCGTTTTGATAGGCTTCGTTGGATATGATGAACAAGATAGCTTACTCGAAGGTAAAGCGGCCTCAATCTCACTCGATGGTCATTTTAGCCCAGAGCTGTTGCTTCTGCATTTACGTCCTCATAAATGAGATTGGCATTCAATTGCCGCAGTGATCCTTGGCTGATATAAAAGTTAGCAGATTCATGTTGAACACTGCAAAGAGGTTCATCTTTATACGTTTGTCGGTATTTCCCAAACTTCTCTAGTCACGTTTCGTATGTAGACGATTATTCAGTCTCATACCTCTTAAGAATACCATTACTATGCATATTTTTAAACCCTTTATTAAAGTGTAAAATGATACGCCGAAGAGGAACTCATTCAGTATCCACTTCCATAGTTGGATTTTTATAAAGCAGCGGAAGTATATATTTCATCAAGCTAGATCTCGCAGGGGAACTTGTTATTGACCATGGAGACCCCAACGCACTAGACGAGCAACTCGAGCGTATATTCAAGGCTGCTAAACGCTTCGATGTTGGTACTACTTATAGATGAAGCGGATAGCTTCTAACCATCGGAGAAGGCGAAAGGTCAGAAAGCAAGACGAGAAGTGAAGGGGTGGGCAGCTCAGCTCAGAGTCGCTCAGTGGACGACTCAGGGCGGTGGGGTGACTAACTCACCCTCTGCTCCATCCCGAGGTCGCTTCCCGAGGCGGCAATGTTACCGTCAACATTATTACTGATACAGGCAAAGACGAAGACAAGACAAGACAAGTGCGTATATAAATATCTGCACAATATATCCAAGTTTCAAATCTACAATCCAATTTCCATCCTTGCCCTGCATCGCCTTGCCAGACCCTAACTGAAACACTAAGATAACCCAAGCAGAAATAAGAAAAGAAACAGAAGATCAATACTAAAATTCAAATGATATTCATAACAAACCAGTCTTTCGAAAACCGATATCCCGATCTGTTTTTCCAGTGATGGAGACCCTCTCTAAAATTCCCAGCCGGAGACCCATAAACCCGCACACGAGACACCGAAGCAGAATGAAGAAGAAAAGTAGAAAATGGGGATGTAATAGGAAAAGAAGGAAGAAATTGCCAGAAGAATATTCATAATAGAAACATGAAAGTGGATATAAGCATGGGGACAGAAAGATGGAGATAGCACATCCGGGTGAAGAATATGTAGCCAATTGCTAACTGCCGAAGATCATGAGGTGGCATATTAAGCACAACCATGTAATGCCCTTCAAGACCCTACATGTAATATGAGGGCCGGCGGGCAAGACAACTTCGAGCAGAGTAAAGCAGGGTATGCTATATCTCCAGTCTCACATATCACTTTCAACAAAGTGAAAGTGCAGATGCTTGAAACGGTCATTCTTGTACAAGGTATCTCCCCCCGAACTGGGGAGACACCATTGAGGAAGAGGATCGAGGATATAAAATAGGCAAGAGGGGGAACGAAGAAGAAATAAATCGTCCCAGCATAGCAGATATAAACAGACATCACGGGCAAATGGGGGTAAGATTGATCAAAACAAAAAGCACATCAGACGGAAACACATGAGACAAAAGCACATCAAATGGGGCATAGAGCATAGAAAGGGGGGATCCATACACATCGCTCGCTAGAGAAAAGGTCCAAGACATCCATCCATAAAGCCGTGACGACAAAAGAAACAAAGAAAATTCAATACCGCAAGCCACCTCAGCAGGACGTGGTGTAGCGCTCACACAGTCTTGTGGGTGGGAACAATCCAAATGAGGCGATTAGCCATCCTCATCCGAGGGCTCGGCGGAGTCCCCCTCGCTTCCATCGCCGCTGGCATTGACCTTCGTTTTCTTGGAAGAATTCGAGCCATCGCCATGGACTTCACTTGACTTGCGCTTCTGCCCACCACCATTCTCTGTTGGCAACGGCTTGCTAAGATCCTCGAAGGTAACAGGCTGACCCGTTACCTCTTCTCGTTTCTCCATGGCGGCCACTTCATCTGCAGTCAGGAAACGTCCACCGGGTCCACGCGGTCTTCGCATGGCGTGGTTGTGTCGTGACTCGTGCAGATAAGGCTTGCGACCCTTCGACGTCAAACGTAGCTGCTCCTCCAGCTTTTGTCGCGCTACGCGGCGCTTCAGAATCCTGTGAAACTGCTTCGCATTCACATACAGTGGCGACTCTTCTTGGTTGCCGCCAGGTACCATGTCGGGTGAGGGCTGGTTCTGTTGTACGGGAGCCTGGGGAAGTGGGGCAGCTATGGGGGCCCGGCCGACGTGGCTCATGACAGGCTGTGCAGTCTGGACGGGGCTACCGACATGGCTCATGCGGCGTTGAGAGAGTTGCTGGTTTGGCGGCATCTGAACCTGCGAGCCCATAGGAGGCATCTGGTTTTGCATCTGCGGTGGCGATCGGGGGTCACGGTCCTGCTTCATTTGCATGCTCGCCATGCGCGGCGAGGCTCGGGAACCCTGGGGCATCTGGCCGGTCATGGAGTCCTGGTGAAGGGGGTAGAACTGCCCAGACGCAGCTGCAGTGGCCATCGCGGCAGCCTGCGTCGGCGAGATGCCGTAGCCCTGGGCCATGGGCGCGGGGACACCGTAGCTTTGGGGAAAGTTCATCTGTTGGTGAACAGCTCCGGGTCCATTCTGTGCTTGTTGATAATGAGGTTGCGACGGAACGATAGGAGAGGATTGGTGGGTTGAGTGGGGTTGGATGGGTGCCTGAGCGTTGGTGGGCGAGGCCATCGACCCAACAGGAGGACCAGCGTTTGGTGGCCCGGTTTGATAAGGACCAGGGATGTGAGAGGGAGCATGTGGATGTTGCCCATGGGTCTGTTGATATTGAGGAGGATATTCCATACTGGCGAGTTGGGATAGTGGATCTTGTCACACTATATGGCGCTGCGCCGGTTCACTGGGTCGATCTGACTTGACGGCTTAATATATTGAGATCACCAATCAGAACCCAAGGATTGCTTTAGATGGGTAGTTCCAAATATGTCACAGTTGATGGCGACGTCTGTTTGGTAGATGTAATGAACCGATATCGCAGAGTGCGCGCAATGAGGGACAAGAGTCACCACGAGTGCTGGGGTACGCGACCGATGATTCGACGAACAGTCTGCAGGATCGGGGCGTCGCGTCAGTAGAGCGCATCACCGAGCGGTCACTGGATTGGCGGGTGGGGGGTATGGGGAAAGGAACACAACCGGAACCACGTACCTTAAATTGCAGGCCCGATCTGAGCGACCAATATTGTTTTGTGTTTCGTCAGTAGAAACTCTCGGGTCAACCTCTTGTGTGTCAAGAATAATCTCAAATGGCTTGTGGAGGGTTTTGGTTCTTTTGTGCAAGATTGTTTACGCCCACTGTCGGGTGTAACGTGGTTGGGCTGTGATGCAGCGGTGCCGGGGGGGGTGCCTCAACAAAGAAGTCGGCTTGATGCGTTGTCAAGTCAGAACAGACCTGACGATGGCAGCTAGGTGTGGAGACTCCGCACTATATTTCAAGCACGTTCGGCAGGCTACCTCATTCACACAGTTCTGGGACTCTGCCACGTCCAGCGTAGAATTCGGGCGGTGCTAACAGCCCCGACTTGCGACAGATAACGCCTGGGCGTTGATGTCAGAATGCGCCTCTCTAAGGCTCCACGCACTAACACTACGGGCCAGAATTAGCATTTTAACATCCTAGCCAATCATCGCGATGAATGAACAACCAATGCGCTGTCAATACACAGTGGTCAAGTGGAGGTGTTTTGGGAATCCGGGGCGGGTTAGACCGGTCAGGGTTGAGAGGGGAGAATGTATGCGTTGGCAAGGCGGTGGTTGAGCTGCAGCTGGGAACTTACCTTGTCGATCGAATTCTGCAGAGCAGACAAAGCGAGGAATATGAGGGGATAGTTAAAACTGGCCAAAGCCGACGAATCACTTTGCGCGACTATATGTCATATGTTAGATCCGACTGGATACCCACGAGGGAAGATATAAATGCTAGGGACGCGTGCAGATTGGACGAAAAGAAACATGAAACGCGATCGCGCACATAGGTAAAACAGGAAGAGCCAATGATAGAGGGAATAGCAAGGATAGGTAAATTGCAGTGAAAATGAGGGAGTGTGTTTTGGTTTAGCACGCGTTGTTTTGCCACGAGATAAGCAAAAGCGCGCGCAACGTGGGATTGGAGCTTAGCGATTACCTTAATAGGCACGGCAGAAAGCATAGAAAGGATAGTCTCCGGAGGTTAAGGTGACTTTCCAATCCCAAGCAATCAAGGGATCCCAGGGTAGAAGATGATTTGACCAGAGGAGGGGGAGATCGAGGGAATCGTGCCAACGAGAGAGAAGGCGGTGGTTCTGTGCGCAACCGGAGCCACTGATGTCAAGCCGGGCAGTTCCGCAAGTATAGAAGTACCGGCAGTAAGGCAATAAGGCAGTACAGGAGGGGATATAGGGATACAATTGTAGTTCAAATGGGTTAAATGGGAATAAAAAGTGAATTGTGACATGTGTTTACCCAGAAATGAGCAGAGTGCAAAGATGACAACGTCAAGGGCTCAAACAAAGAAAAGCAGCAAAAGGAAAAAGGGCATACAATTGCAGTACTGCAGCAATATTCAAAGCCAAAATTGTATATAACTTACCCCAGTTTGAATGGATATACCAATAGAGAAGGAATGACCTTATGCAAGGCAGGGTTTCACCAATAATGATGTAAAAAGGGGGGAGATGATACTGTGCGATTGGAGGATGAACTGGAGAGGGCGGGCAACCAACGAGAAGAGGCAGAGGGAAGAAAGGCGAGGAAAAAGGGCGGATGGGGCAGTTTTGTAGGAGATTGACTGGCTGCCGACTGAGCGACCGCCTTGCTCCCCGCTGCTGAGGCCGCCTTTTCTGCGATATTACACCAAATTACATTTCAATACACATCATTACTGGCTCATTTGTCTCCATAGCCGCCTAACCGGCCCCCAATGGTATCTACATGACCATACTGTATTAAAAACAAATCCGGCGGTCCCGAGCTCTCGTCATGTGCGACCCGAGACGATGACGCATGGCCCTCTAGCCTGGACGGAGTACGGAGTACACCCGCTTCCTTTATCTTGTCTTAATTGACTTCATTTATTTAGCCATCTATCGTATAACAATTTACTCTCCCCTTTAGATCCTATTTTGCTCTTGAAACCCAACCCTGAGCATTGAATCATACCACTTTCTGCTGCGGCTGCATGTCTGCCCACGCTAGTTATCACTCGCCTCATTTTAATAATCGCCTCCTTTCTTTTTTTGGCCCTTTTTTTGTCAGCTTGCTTTGGCTTATGATTATGATTATCACTCTTGATACCCAAAAGGACGTGCTCTGTTTTTCTTTGCTTTTTCCTACTCGCAGTAAATATCGCTTACCTCGGCCGTGTGCCCTATTTGGGGAGGCCTCCTCCACCTAATGTCCCATCTCATCCATGACCTTGCTTCAAAGCTCGTGTGCAATGTACTCCGGAAAAAAAGGAGCTTCAGAGGAGACTGGATTTATTCTAGTACGGCCTGTCATTCTCGGCACTTACGGTCCCCACGGGAGTGTGATGAGATCTTCTTGGTAGCGGCAATGAAATCATCTCCCCGGGCGGCAACATTGTAATTCAGGCGGGAGTGACGGCGTTATTTGACACACAAGGCCGCCCATCTAACACAAGTTGGGAAGGTCTGAGTATGTATTATTATGTACGTTTTCACTGAGAAACACGAGTACTCGCTTGGCCGCATTGAAGTGTCTGTTCCAGCCAAACTCATGACGCAATCCAATTAACCGAGTTCGTATCTACAGTATAGGTACGGAGTATACAATATACGGAGACCGTTGTTGTAGTGGGCTGTTACTATTATTGAACATTCAGACTGGCGGTCGAAATGCTGCTCACCGTAGGTTTATATTCGGCCCAAACATCCCCACCTCGTATTGCTACCCTCGGATATATGTTCCCATACATCTCGAGCTCAATTACCAGACAATTCAAACGAGAGAATGTCATATTCTTATATAGCTCTATACTCCGGGTTTGATCTCCACGTGCATTCTAGTCAAATTTAGTAGCTTCCCATGGGCCATTCAGCGCAGGCGATAATCCCGATTCGCAGGGACGGATGGGTCCGATCTCCGGACCATAACACCCACGTGTGAGAAGCTTGACCGCTTGACTTTGGACCTTCAACTTCGAGTTTCTATTTGTACGAAAGTTTTACATGGTAAATTATGCTCATGTACTATTGATAAATTCCTGCTTCATCTCTTCTTTTGGTCCAGTTTTGACCGATATTCGTGGCGTTGGTACCATGGCAACCCGCATTCTTTGGAAATATATATCGTAGTCACTGACCACAACAACCATTGAAATACATACTTACCTCGCAGATTGGCGAAAGCTATTATCAGCTATCCTCCATTAAATCCAATGCGACCCATAGAAACTGTCAGAGAGCCCCTTGTATGGAGAGTACATTCAAGTGTGGCCGCCCTATCATTCTGAGACCTTGACCTCAATTTGAATGGTCGGATTATTTGATACAATGTACGCCAGTTTCGGGTAAATACTAGGCAGAGCACCCAAAATCAAAGCACGAGCAGGAATTGTTTGCTCACTGGCGCGTGACAAAATATAGAGTACCAACGCACTTACGATGTATACAAGTGATGTCGACCACAGCAAGAATATCAATGGTGAGCTAGTGGTTACATCAAAAAGCAAAAGGTCCTCCACCACAGATTTATCGGAACGCCAAAGGTCGCCTATGCATAGGCCATCCCTATTCGCCCTTTTATCCAGCAAAGTGCACGGCTCTTGTGGCCATGGCATCACTTCAAGACTTTGGTCCCGTTCTCCATCACATAGACCTCCTGGATCACTGGCTTCCTGACCAGCCCCACCGCCTCCATCATACTGCGGATCTTTTCTGTAAGGGAAGCTGCAAGCTCTTTGTCAGCAACAATAGATACAAGCGGCTTGTCAGGGTCGCTGATACGTGGTCGGGTTTCACTGTATATCTTGAGCCAGTTTTGTGTAGACTGAGCTGAGCGAGTATCGGGATTCTTCATCGGTGGATGTGTACATGAACAGCTGTTATCAGTAAGCTCCATGAAAAGAGAAGTCCGGAAAATTACCTTCGATTAGCATAGGTCATTGCCAATATTATCATCGCGACGGTGAGAGGGACTCCTATCCCAACAGAAAGGCCAACAGCTAGGCCCGGGTTGACTGCCATTTTCTGGGATTTGTGAAGGCTTTTCGCGATTCTAGGATGAAAGAAATGTCCCGAATACTTCGATTTAACTCGACGACCGATAGGAAACAGAATCGGAGAAAAAAAAAGATCGATGATATCACATTCAAAAAGTATAGAGGCAAGGCCGCATCCGAATAGGGATACAAGGTTCTGTCCCGGAACCAAGTTAGAACGACTAGGGCATAATCTGGCGAAGGTTACATAGCTACATAGTATACATCTAATGCCGCTATTTCCATAGAAAATTCAAAGGCGGATATGTCAAATAAGGGAGCATGGTGCTTCGAGGCGAGAAGCAATCCATTATTAACCCACTAAATGAGATCTGGCTAGATAGCGAAGTAAAAGCAAAAGGTCATCCACGCCAAGCTTATCCTGTATCCTCATGCCCGCGCACTTATTGACACCTTTTATTCTCCAAATATCCATCATGGGTGGTAATAGGATCACTTCGTGGGTGTGTTGGCCATAACAGAGACCTCCGGAATAACCTGTTTCTTTTTGAGACCAACGGCTTCAAAAAGATCGCAGAGCTTCTCAGTGAGAGTTCCTGCGAAAAGCTCGTTAGTCAGAACAGAAAATAGGTAAATCGAATTCGCGGAGATCTTGCTTCCGCGTGTCGCCTTGTGTATTTTGATATAGATTTCTGCTTCCTCGTTGTTCATGTGTTGCGGTATATATGGATATCTATTAGAATAAGGCACGTTAGCCGTTTCCCTCAGGCAAGAGTCTGTGGAAATCATACCTGCGACGAATCCACATGGCACACAAGAAGATCACGGCTATAGTTAGAGGAATGCCGAGCCCAAGAGGTAGCCCGATAGCAAGCCCCCGGTTGATAGGTGGTGGACTGTTGTTGAAACCATTGTCAACCTTTGTAGAAAGGGCCTGGTACTTTGAGTTCATAGTATTGACCTCTGCACCGAGGATACCGTGAAACTTGGCCGGTAGAGCTTCAACTTCTCCTTCCCAGCGACCGATCTCTGCAGTATTCTCATCGACTAGCGTAGAAAGAGCTGTAATATCAGCGCGCAAGCGCTCACTCTCTGCGTTAACATCATCAATATTTTAGAAAGAGATTGGATATCTGCGCTCGATCCTGTGCTCTGTGCATTGCTGCCTTGTAATGTTCTCGTATCAATGGCTTTGATTTTATTGTCCAATTCCTCGCACCGTGACGACAGCTTGTTGAGTATCTCGGCGTGCTGGTTGATTACCTCGGCGTATTTCTACAAGGATGCATCAACATCATATCTGAAGAATGCGTCACCGATCTTGTAGTGAAATGATCGATGCGGGAATTCAGAAGTTGGTACAGAATTATCTGACAAGATGCATCCAGTATGGAAGGACGGGCAAGCATCTTAGTGAGATCACGTTTACATGTCATAGAAAAAAAAGCTAGAAGGCCACATCTATGTATGTAGGTACCGTAACGCGCTCATAATGAGATAAGACACCTGTGCCATTTGAGCTACTGATATAGTCTTTTTAGTTCAATTGGTATACACACTAACTACATGCGGCCAAAGTCAACTCAAAAGTAATTAACTACGAAAGATTAGATTGATGCGAAACCGACATCAACATCGGAGTGGAAGAGCTTAAGACCATTGCAGATGGCATCTGGAGGCTCTACCCATATCTAGGTGGGAGCGGGCTTCCTAGAGCGCTTACTCAGCATCGCCCGCTCCCCGGCCCGACACAAGTGGCTCTTCCGCATCGTTGTTGACTCGACCACAATCGCTTTTTGTTTTGCTTGGTGCCTCGAGAAAACAGAATCTGCGGCTGTTTTTCCTTGGTGGCGAACTTCTAACGCTACAAGATCTAGACTCCCCGCACCTCAGCAAAACCCCCCGCAAAAAAAAAGCATCACAGACGCGCAACATTAATACTGGACGGGATACATGACGTCTTTGTTGACATCCACGGTTTCGAATCTCGCTACAAAGCGCTCCCAAACGATCAAAAGGGATTTAGCTACATCCAACCCTGCGCTCATTCCCCTGCGACAGACTTTCAAGCCGCGCTCCTTGCGGAGTTTGCGCATCGGTGTACCCCTGTCACCGCTTGCATCCCACGTCCGGAATCCGGCCTCCATACAAATTCATTGTTGACGAACATATCCCGTGCATGGGTTAGAGAGAAAAGATGGCTCCAGGCGGTGGTGGAAATATTAAGGTGGTGGTTCGGGTGCGGCCTTTCAATAGTCGAGGTGAGTAGATATCGAGGGAGGGTTTCGTTTGGACCTCAAGCTAACTACTCTGTCTTTGTACAGAGATCGAGCGAGGCGCAAAATGTATCGTGTCAATGAAAGGCTCCCAGACCGTGCTCACTCCTCCACCCGGCGCAGAGGACAAATCACGGAAGGGTGGAAAGGGCGCTGTTGAAGGGAACAAGGTCTTCGCGTTTGACCGATCATATTGGTCCTTTGATAAGAATTCATCCAACTTCGCCGACCAGAATGACCTCTTCGACGATCTGGGTTCTCCGCTTCTGGACAATGCCTTTGGGGGCTACAACAATTGTATCTTCGCTTATGGCCAGACTGGTTCGGGAAAATCATACTCCATGATGGGTTACGGCAAAGAATACGGTGTGATTCCACGGATTTGCCAGTCGATGTTCGAGCGCATTAAATCCATCCAGGCGGACAAGTCTTTAAATTGCACCGTTGAGGTGTCATATCTCGAAATCTACAACGAGCGGGTACGCGATTTGCTCAACCCGTCGAACAAAGGCAACTTGAAAGTTCGCGAGCATCCGTCAACGGGCCCTTATGTCGAGGACCTGGCCAAACTTGTCGTCGGGTCTTTCGAGGAAATCGAGAACCTGATGGACGAGGGTAACAAAGCCCGAACAGTTGCCGCGACCAACATGAACGAAACCTCAAGTCGATCACATGCCGTTTTCACCTTGACTCTGACGCAAAAGAGACACGACAAAGAGACTTCGATGGATACTGAGAAGGTGTCGAAAATCAGTTTGGTTGATTTGGCTGGTTCAGAAAGAGCTAACTCGACTGGAGCCACCGGTGCGCGATTGAAGGAGGGTGCGGAGATCAATCGCTCATTGTCAACGCTTGGTCGTGTCATTGCTGCGCTCGCGGATATCTCTGCTGGCAAGACCCCTGCCGGCAAGAAGAAGAATGCATCCATGGTACCATATCGTGATTCAATTCTAACATGGTTGCTGAAGGACTCTCTGGGTGGAAATTCCATGACCTCCATGATTGCAGCAATTTCTCCTGCAGATATCAACTTTGATGAGACTCTTGGCACTCTGCGATACGCCGACTCGGCGAAACGGATCAAGAACCATGCTGTTGTGAACGAAGATCCGAATGCACGCATGATCCGTGAACTCAAGGAGGAACTGGCACAACTCCGATCAAAACTTGGAGGGGGGGTAGCACCGGGAGGAGCAGCTGGCGCCATAGGAGGTGGTGTTCCCCAGGAGTACTACCCCCCGGATACACCGCTGGAGAAACAGATGGTCTCCATCCAACAGCCGGACGGAACTGTCACCCAGGTCAGCAAAGCAGAGATTGTAGAACAACTCAATCAGAGTGAGAAGCTCTACAAAGATCTCAACCAGACTTGGGAAGAGAAGCTGCAGAATACAGAGCTTATCCACAAGGAGCGCGAAGCAGCTTTGGAGGAATTGGGAATCAACATCGAAAAGGGCTTCATTGGAATGAGTACGCCAAAGAAAATGCCCCATTTGGTCAATCTTAGCGACGATCCCCTTCTTGCGGAGTGTTTGGTCTACAACATCAAACCTGGCACCACAACGGTTGGTCATATGGATCAAGGTCAAACCGTCGAGATCCGATTGAACGGATCCAAGATCCTTGAGAAACATTGCACTTTCGAAAATGCGGATAATGTTGTGACCATTGTACCCGCCGAAGGTGCCGCTATCATGGTGAACGGCTTGCGGGTTGACAAGCCCACACGGCTGAAGAGTGGTTTCCGGATCATCCTTGGTGATTTTCATATTTTCCGTTTCAACCATCCCCAAGAGGCCAGAGCTGAACGTGTCGAGCAGAGCTTACTCCGCCATTCAGTCACGACAAGCCAGCTTGGGTCACCAGCTCCAAACAAAGCCCATGATCGAAATCTGAGCAAGGCAGGATCTGACGTGGATGCAGATTCATCCAGGGCGGATTCACCCATGCCTTCACAGCGTAGCCGTGAGTCAGACTGGTTCTTAGCTCGCAGAGAAGCTGTCAGTGCTATGGTTGGACCCGATCAAATCTCCAATTTACCTGATGATGAACTGGACACACTGTTGGAGGATGTGCAGAAGGTTCGAGCCGGACGGCGTGGACTGCCGGAAGAAGAAGATTCCGACTCCATCAGCTCCTTCCCGATCAGGGACAAGTACATGTCCAATGGAACCATCGACAACTTTTCCTTAGATACCGCTATAACCATGCCAAGCACGCCCCGGCAGAACGACGACGATGAAGTCAATGCCGTCGCATCACTCAACCAGGCTCGTCAATATATGCAGCGGCAGCTTGATCGCCGCAAGGAAGAGTATCAAGAAAAACTTAAGACCGTGGGGGCTTCGTCTGAACCAGACTCACCGGAGCTACGCACCGAGAAAGAACGCATGGAGGACGCCCTGCGGATGGCTAAAGAAGAATTCGAAGAGCAACTGCGCAAACAAAAGGAGTCTTTTGAAACCCACATCCGAGATATGGGTAAGCCAGTCCCTCAAATTTTCGAAAATGGCTTCGCCAAGTTGGATGAACGTGAGCTCGAAATCGCGCGCTTAGTCTACAGGCACTGGTCCCAGCGAAATTACGTCCGAATGGCTGAGAAGATTTTGCAACATGCCTCCCTTCTGAAAGAGGCACAGATCATGAGCCATATCATGGACAAGCATGTGGTCTTCCAGTTTGCCATTGTCGACCACGGTCATAACATGGAATCGTCTTACGATCTCGTGCTCAACGGAATTTCCGGCGACGAAGACGTCGTGCTGGATGAGGCCAAGAAGCCTTGTGTCGGTGTTCGAGTCATCGACTTCAAACGGTGCGTGATTCACTTGTGGTCAATTGAAAAGCTCCAGCGTCGCGTTCAAGCCATGCGGCAATTGCACCAATACATCGACCGTCCCGACTACATCCAACACTTCAAACTTGACAATCCATTCTCTGAACCTTGTTCACCCCAGTATTCTCTTATTGGTGATGCCGACATCCCACTAACGGCCGTCTTTGAAACCCGTGTGCAAGATTTTTCCGTTGAGATCACATCGCCATATACGCAGTGTGTCGTCGGAATCGTTCGTCTCTCCCTCGAGCCATCCTCCGCGCAGGCACCCTCTTCAACCCTGAAATTTAACGTTGTCATGCGGGACATGATAGGGTTCGCGGAGTGGGAAGGGTCTGATGTACATGCGCAGTTATTTGTTCCGGGTATCTCAGAGGAGGGAGGCGCGACTACGACTCAGATGATCAAAGGATTTGAGGACGGTCCGGTCCGATTCGAAAGTGTGCACAGCATGAGCTTGCCGCTGTCAAGTCCACGGACAGCCGCATTGAAGGTCTGTGTTTATGCTGGTGTGACATCGGTTCATCTCGACAAGCTTCTTAGTTGGGATGATATGCGAGACTCAGCAGAGCCTTTACCGCAGAAGCGAACTGCTCCTCGAATCGCGGAATCTGAATTCTATTCGGAAGAACGTCATGATGTCTTTGCGAGAATTCAAATACTCGAAATGGCAGAATCTGGTGAATACCTTCCCGTGGAGGTTGTTCAGAGCAGCAGTCTCGATGCCGGGACATCCCAGCTTCACCAAGGATTGCAGCGCCGCATCTCGGTCAACATCACGTACAGCTCAACGGAAAGTCTTCCCTGGGATGATATCAACAACATCCGCGTGGGTTCTGT